TCTTCCGTTTCCAACGGAAGACCTTATTGTTTTCGTTCGGTTTCTTTTTCCCTATTATTATTCTTTTTTTTTCTTACCGATTTTGTGCACGCGAATTCTCGGAAATGGCTCGACCGATTTTCACCAAACTTTTAGATCTGATAGATATTTATCTGAACCTTGTCGGAAATTTTAGTCGTCGATGACGTCACTTCCGGTCGTGAGATATGGACGATTTCCTGATTTTTAGAGGGTCGGCTTGTCCTGGAAACTCCTCCGGAACGACTTAAAATATTGACTCAAGATTTTTAGTGAAAGTAAGGGAAGGTTTGGTGAGTTGCAGGCAGGCGTCCAAATCTTCATAGCGCAAAAGGCGCCGAAGCTCAGTAGAGCCAAAAAAATGTCTCGGAAACATCTCACAAAATTTGACATCTTTTGTTTTATATCTTCGTATCTTTTCATAATTTGTTAAATCATATAGAAGAAAAGTTGTACAGATTCAAGAGACCTTTCAAATGAAATCAAGAAAAAGGGGCTGACCCCTCAAATCAGGGGCTCAGAAGGGCCAAAACTCTTTCATTTATATCTCTTTATTGATCAATATTTTGTTATACATTACAGAAGCAAAGATATTTATCTTTACAATTTGTAACAATATATTATAAAATTTTGATCATATGTTACGTAATTAGGGGTCTCAAGGGGCCAGAATGTCACATCTTTGACGCTTTATATCTCAAAAAGGGGGAATATTTTGATAAGCAATATTGAACAAAAGATGATCAGAATAATGTTCTAAACAATATGCATATTTTGAATTTTTGTAAAACGGCCCCATTAAGGACTTAGAGCGATGGCCCCTAAATATTTCCATTCAGCATATCTCCACCACGAAAAGAAATCTCTGAATAAGTGTTGAACAAAAAATGACAAGACCTTTCATTTGATATCAAGAAAAAGGGGCCGACCGCTAAAATTAAGGGCTCAGAGGGGCCAAAAGTTTTCCTTCTATAACTCTATAATGATCAATATTTTGTTATACATTAATGAAGCAAAGATATTCATCTTAACAATTTGCAACAATATATTATAAAATTGAGATAATATGTTACGTCATTAGGGGTCACAAGGGGCCAGAATGTCAAATATTTGACACTTTAAATCTCAAAAAGGGGGAATATTTTGATAAGCAATATTGAACAAAAGATGGCCAGAATAATGTTCTAAACAATATGCATACTGTGAATTTTTTTTAAATGGCCCCATTAAGGACGTGTAGGGGTGGCCCCTAAATATTTCCATTCACCATATCTCCACAACGGAAAGAAATCTCTGAATAAGCGTTGAACAAAAAGTCTTTGAATTTAAAAGCCCTTTCATTTGATATCAAGAAAAAGGGACTGACTCTTCAAAATAGGGGCTCAGAGGGGCCAAAAGTCTTTCATCTACAACTCTTTAATGATCTATATTTTGTAATACATTACTGATTAAAAGGTATTCATCTTAACGATTTGCAACAACATCGTATAAATTTTAATCATAAATTACGAAATTAGGGGTCACAAGGGGCCAGAATATGAAGTGTTTGTCGGTTTATATCTCGAATAAGAGAAATATTTTGATATAAGCAATGTTGAACAAAGGATGGTCAGAATAATGTTCCAAACAATATGCACCGTTTGAATTATTGTAAAATGGCCCCATTAAGGACTTGCATTGGTGGCCCCTAAATATTTTTATGCAAGATATCTCTTTAACGAAAAGAGATCTGTGAATAGGTCTTGAACAAAAAGTGTTCAAAATCACGAGACCTTTCATTTGAAATCAAGAAAAGGGTCTGGACCCTCAAATTAGGGGCTGAGAGGGCCCAAATCACTTTCATCTATAAGTATTTGAGATTGTTGAATAAATCAAAAGAATTTAATCAAGTGAGAGAAGTCTTGATATTGTTTTGTAACAAATATCACAGTCAAAATAATATCTCATCTTATCGACAAATCGGACGGAAGACCTACTCGTTGCTCGCAACGAGATCTCATCTAGTTATTATTATTATTCTTATTTTTTAGACAAATTTTGTGCACGCGATATCTCGAGAACTATTCATCGGTTTTTCATCAAACTTTCAGGGATGATGCGCTCTTATATGCCATTGTTACATTTGGAAGTATTTTGGAACAAGTCGATTCCGGTGCCAAGTTATGGCCATTTTCCTGATTTTAAAATGAAATTTTGTCAGTTCGAGATCTAAGGAACTACTAAAGATATGAACTGGAGACTTGTTGGAGAACATAGGACATGACTTCTAGATATGCGGAATGTCCTTTTCGTGTGTCGTCGATACTTCCGGTTGCTACCGGAAGCTAATAAAAAAAATCAAAATTTTAAACTTTTTTGTTTTTCATTATTTTTCTTTGATTTTTATAGTGATAATAGAGACATTTTAGAGAATGCGAAATATGTAATTTGTTTTTGAATTGATAAAGCCAATCTCGAGATATTCGCATTGAAAAATTTGAAGCGGTGTTCCCGATGGCGTAATGGTTAGCGCGTCGGATTTTCAAGCGGGCGACCCGGATTCGATCCCCTGTGTGACCGAAATTTTTTTATGACTTTTTCAGCTAGATTTTTCGCTTTTTATTTCAGAATCGGACGGAAGACCTCTCGTTGCTCGCAACGAGATCGTTTCTAGTTATTATGTTCCCCAAACGAAGTTGGGGAACATATTGTTTTTACTCTGTTTCTTATTATTATTATTATTAAGGTCTTCCGACTTCCTTCGGAAGACCTTATTGTTTTCCTTCTGTTTTTTATTATTATTATTATTCCACTTTTCATAGTACAGGTCATATCTCAGCTGTGCGTGGACGGATTTGAACGATTTTTTCAGGGATGATGCATCTTGTCAATATCTCCAGGGGTGTCCCTCACTTTTTTGAAATTTTTCTTCGTTCGCGATTTTTGGGGAAATTTGTATTTTTTAAATGGAATTTTGTCGCAAGAAATTCTCGAGAACGGCAAAAGATATGAAACTGAAACTTGCTGAGGTGATAGAACATTGATTGCAAATGTGTTGATCGACCTTCATTTTTCGTCGTTTTGACTTCCGGCCGCAAACGGAAGTGAATTAAAAATTCCAATTTTTCAACTTTTTTGTTTTTCAATATTTTTCATTAAGATTTTCAGGGTTGATAGAGTATTTTTTAAGAATTTTAAATATGTTTTTGATATTTTCATGCGTGCATTTATTGTAAAGATATGACCGATCGAAACTTTGCCCAACAATTGGGGGTCGAATCCCGCTTGGGGCGTTTCAATTTTTTCTTTGTTTCTGTCTTTTCAGTCGCATATGACTTTTTTATCTTCATTTGTGGCAGATTTTGCCGATTTTAAAATCTATATTTTGATACATTTTTGAATAACTGTATTATACTCATGATCTAGGTTGAGAAACTGCTGTAAATGAACGTACACGGAAAGAAAATCTGAAATCTATTTTATGGGATGAAGAAGCATAGTTCAGAAATGTCTTAAAATCCAAGCATACATGTACCTAATACTCAATATGTTCTCATCGATCACTATTGCTATTACTATTGTTGATTCACAGAAGATTCGTTTCCAATTCCGGTAATTTTTTTTTTTACTTTAAACTTTTTTAGAAGCATGAAATAGAGAAACATCCAGTCGATTGGACTTTTATACTTGATCATTTAATCTACTTTTAGGCGCTCAAATAGCTGACAACAGTAGACAAAAATAAAAGATAAATTCATTTTCCACCCATGTCCGTGATTCAGTATTGCTCTCCTCGCGATGAATTATTTGATGCATGATTACAGTTCATTATGTCCCACCTTTACTGAAACATTTATTACCGCTGTGCAATTAATTAAATGTAGCTAAAATTATTATTCCATAGGCGTCGGGACCGGGGGGCTGGGGGGGGGGGGCTTAGTCCGGCCCCTTTTTGCAAATATATACATAATATTTATGCATTGAAAATTGGGGTTTACCTTTCTTGTTAGTTTAGTCCCCCACTTTCAATTACCCCCCCCCCCCTTTCGATTTACTTCCGATGCCTATGTATCCCAGCTTGTGATAATAACTAGTGTCCATAAATTAATCTAAAAAATTTTAATTGAATGATCTTTAAAATCATTTCGCATTTGTACAATAAATACTCAGAAAGTACACATAATACGTTTTATATGAGATTTACTGTATACAGAACCAAATAAGCTTTCACATTTTTAAATATGTATTAATATATAATATGAGAGAGAGAGAGAGAGAGAGAGAGAGAGAGAGAGAGAGAGAGAGAGAGAGAGAGAGAGAGAGAGAGAGAGAGAGAGAGAGAGAGAGAGAGAGAGAGAGAGAGAGAGAGAGAGAGAGAGAGAGAGAGAGAGAGAGCATTCTGTATTCTAACGAAAAACCAATCATTTCTTCAGGATTTTTAAACTATCAAATATAAGCAAATATAAAGGCTTTTTTGCACATTGATCACATTTTTATCATTTTCACTCAATATGATTTGACATATCTGTCTATGATGCACATAGGCCTGGCTACTGCATTATAAATATATCTAAGCAGATAAACTTTGAAGAAAAAAAGAATATGTGTATGTTTCCTTACGTTTACATTCATAATTCAGCATTACATCTAGGTGTTCCATTATTTTGAATGTTCAACGTAAAGAAGGCCAGTGTAAATTTCATATCCGAAATATTTTGCGTACGAGATAATCAATTGCACGGTTCAGTGATCACAGCATCGCACCAGTACGGAGGTACAACGCAGAAGCGAAATTCGAAAAAGTGCAGCATTCATATTTATAAGTAAAGAAAGAGAAGCAAAAGGTTATCGTGGGTCTCCACAGTGATTTTTGACTGTAAGTATTGCTTTGTTGTAGATAATTTTTTTTTGAAAGCGACTGTTTACAACCTTAGGACTAGGCATTCGCGCATGCGCAGTGCTCCACTCCTTTTGCGCATGCGCATTTTGTTGCGCATGCTCAGCCTTCCCTTTCAATATGGCTTCAAGAACAGACGCTGGGATTTTCACAGAGATGTTTTTCCTCCTGGTTAGTTAATTTTATACTATTAGATGTAAATACAAACATTGAATTCTGATTAATTACTTGTCTCTTAATAATTTTAACAAGAAATCTGAAATAATTCAGTGAAATTTTATGAAATACTTGTGTGTACTCAATTTCTTTACCAACAATACATGATTTGATAAGAAATATGTGTTTTATCCTAAAAGAAATCAAAGAAAACCTTGAAAATTTACAAATTACTTGCCTAGTGACACATTTAAGCAGAATTCTCAAAGAATTCAGTGAAATTTTATGAAATACTTGTGTGTACTCAATTTCTTTACCAACTACATGATTTGATAAGAAATATGTGTTTTATCCTAAAAGAAATCAAAGAAAACCTTGAAAATTTACTAATTACTTGCCCTGTGACACATTTAAGCAGAATTCTCAAAGAATTCAGTGAAATTTTATGAAATACTTGTGTGTACTCAATTTCTTTACCAAAAATACATGATTTCATGGAAAATAACTGTTATATCCCAAAGGAAATGAAAGCAACCCTTGAATATTTACTAATTACTTGCCCTGTGACACATTTAACCAGAATTCTCAAAGAATTCAGTGAAATTTTAGGAAATACTTGTGTGTACTCAATTTCTTTACCAACAATACATGATTTAATAAGAAATATGTGTTTTATCCCAAAAGAAATGAAAGCAACCCTTGAATATTTACTAATTACTTGCCTAGTGACACATTTAACAAGAATTCTGAAATAATTCAGTGAAATTTTATGAAATACTTGTGTGCGGTCAATTTCTGTACCAACAATACATGATTTGATGGAAAATAAGTGTTTTATCCCAAAGCAACCCTTGAATGTTTACTTATTACTTGCCTAGTGACACATTTAACAAAAATTCTGAAATAATTCAGTGAAATTTTATCAAATACTTGTGTGCAGTCAATTTCTGTACCAACAATACATGATTTCATGGAAAATGTGTGTTTTATCCCAAAAGAAATGAAAGCAACCCTTGAATATTTACTAATCACATGCTTAGTGACACATTTAACAAGAATTCTCAGAGAATTCAGTGAAATTTTAGGAAATACTTGTGTGTACTCAATTTCTTTACCAACAATACATGATTTCATAAGAAATATGTGTTTTATCCCAAAAGAAATGAAAGCAACCCTTGAATATTTACTAATTACATGCCTAGTGACACATTTAAGCAGAATTCTCAAAGAATTCAGTGAAATTTTATGAAATAATTGTGTATAGTCAATTTCTTTACCAACAATACATGATTTGATAAGAAATATGTTTTATCCCAAAAGAAATCAAAGAAAACCTTAAATATTTACTAATTACTTGCCTAGTGACACATTTAAGCAGAATTCTCAAAGAATTCAGTGAAATTTTATGAAATACTTGTGTATACTCAATTTCTTTACCAAAAATACCCAAAAGAAATGAAAGAAAACCTTGAATATTTACTAATTACTTGCCCGGTGACACATTTAACAAGAATTCTCAAAGAATTCAGTGAAATTTTATGAAATACTTGTGTGCGGTCAATTTCTTTACCAACAATACATGATTTAATAAGAAATATGTGTTTTATCCCAAAAGAAATGAAAGCAACCCTTGAATATTTACTAATCACATGCTTAGTGACACATTTAACAAGAATTCTCAAAGAATTCAGTGAAATTTTATGAAATACTTGTGTATACTCAATTTCTTTACCAAAAATACATGATTTCATAAGAAATATGTGTTTTATCCCTAAAGAAATGAAAGCAACCCTTGAATATTTACTAATTACATGCCTAGTGACACATTTAAGCAGAATTCTCAAAGAATTCAGTGAAATTTTAGGAAATACTTGTGTGCGGTCAATTTCTTTACCAACAATACATGATTTCATGGAAAATAACTGTTATATCCCAAAAAAACTGAAAGCAACCCTTGAATATTTACTAATTACTTGCCTAGTGACACATTTAACCAGAATTCTCAAAGAATTCGGTGAAATTTTAGGAAATACTTGTGTGCGGTCAATTTCTTTACCAACAATACATGATTTAATAAGAAATATGTGTTTTATCCCAAAAGAAATGAAAGCAACCCTTGAATATTTACTAATTACTTGCCTAGTGACACATTTAAGCAGAATTCTCAAAGAATTCAGTGAAATTTTATGAAATACTTGTGTATACTCAACTTCTTTACCAAAAATACATGATTTGATAAGAAATATGTGTTTTATCCCAAAAGAAATGAAAGAAAACCTTGAATATTTACTAATTCAGTGGAATTTTATGAAATACTTGTGTGCACAGTCAATTTCTTTACCAACGAAACATGATTTGATAAGAAATTAGTGATAAAATGTTAAATTCCCAATTCCAAGGGCCTACGTCCAGTGTCAGTGACTTTGCTCACTCTGTAAATTTTTGTTAATTTAAATCATTGCATTTTGCTTGAAATGACCATACTCTAGGGATTTGTGTTTTTACAACTCAACTTATAGTCATTATACCCCCCGCAAACGAAGTTTGGGGGGGATATAGGAATCACCTTGGGGGGGATATCCGGTCCATATCCTTTTTACAGAGGGATATTAGAATCTATTACTCCACACTTAGATTGCTCGTGACCTAAGGGTGTGTCATGACCTTGACCCAAGGTCATTTTGGGAAGTTCAAGGTCACTGGAAGAAAAATTTCATAATTGGTGTCCGGTCCATATATTTCTTATGGATAAACTTGGTAGGTACTCATTTCACTCAAAAATTGCCCATGACCCAAGGGTGTGTCATGACCTTGACCCAAGGTCATTTAGGGAAGTTCAAGTTCACTGGAAGAAAAATTTCATAATTCATGTTTGATACACATCATTATTATGGAAAAACTTACTTCTGAAAAACCCAGCGGGGGGTATTTTGTCCCGTTTTGGCAGTTCTAGTTATTAATCACTGTTAATGCAATGTTAATAAACGTATGCATGTTTTATAGATAGCAGTGCATTTTATTGTCACTACTGGAATGCTGCATGGGAATGATGGCAGTGATTTTCTGTTTCCTGTTCCTGTAAGTATAGTTCATGTAACATTTCAATGGTGGATATTAACTACAGAAAGTGTTTTACTTTACATCTTGTCTGTTCAGAGGTTTTACCTGCACATGCCAAGGGTATTCCTATGTATACAATCAAAAAGGTGCAAAACTTAATAAATGTTTGTGCATTGGATTCAGGTAAATATCAATATGTATTTTTAAATCTGTTCATTCTTAACCACTTAAAATTCCTTTGACCTACAGCATGTACAATACAAATGTAATTGAGTAAAATGATGGAACTCTTTCTTTTCAAGAAATGAATTGACCTAGTGTGGTATTGCAACAGCAATTAAATTTTTGTAACGTACATGTAGTTGTAATATTTCACATTAAAGCTATAAAGTTCACTTTGTGATCATGGTAATAACTAATATTTTAATATTGTAGATTGCAGACATTTCTTTGCAGAATGAATTACTTGGAGAGGTGAGTTCAAAATAATGAATGAATGAAAAGAAATTTCTGTTGAATTGCTGTTAAAAATATTATGAAAATAAGTTATGTACTTGAAAAATCAGTCAGTGAAACTAGTGTTATAATGTCATTTGCATTAGAGCCATATCATAAACCACATATAACAAAATATCTTTGTTTCCAGGATAGGCTCAACAAGTTGTCTTTTACTCCTCAGTCACACTTTTGTGTCTTTTTTTAAACACATAATTTTAGGTTAAAAAAGATGTAAAAATTAAGTTTGCTCTTGATTTTTATTTTTAGAGACCCATTGACTCCTTACCTTTGGAATCAAATTCACAAGTAAGTTGAGCATACTTCTTGATTGGTAAACTTACAAATGAACTTCATTATAAAGAAAAAAAAAAAATATATATATATATCATTTTTAAAATCTATCAGGATGTAGGTATGGGTTGGTCACATGATCAACTTCCTTGAAGATCATCATGGTAGATTTGACATGTGCCAACCTCTATACTTATCCTGGTAAGTTTTAAAAAGCTGATGTGAGCTATGACTCATGTGAGCTTTCATGATCAAAAAGTGTCCATTTGTCTTGTGTTTTTCTTTGTCTGAATTTTGATCGGGATCAAAATTCAATTTACCATTCAACTTTCGTTTTAAATCATGGAAATACCAGCATGATTTTTAACAGCTGAGAAGATAGTTATTGCTGTGATAGCAGTAAAGAAGAATCATCTTTTGTGGAAGATTGATGTTATATGGTAAGAGATATGCATATTTGAATAGTCATGTGCAAGCGATTTTAACTGTGTCCAATGAACATAAATGCAATTTTTCTACTTTGAACTATTAAAATAGTGATGGTGAATATGCCTTAACATTGTTACACCCCACAAATGAAGGGAGGGTTTTAGTGGAATGGCATGTCTGTCTGTAGGTTTAATTTTGATTTCTTTGCTGTTTAAAGCATGGATTTGTCTGAAATTTTGTATAATAATAATTCACCAAAAGCATGAGCTGTTTTTTCTGTTGCTGTGGGGGTGTGCTTATTTTCAATAAAGCCATGATTCCTCTCTTTTATATGGAAGGAGCTTTTGATAATGATCTTTAAATTTATTCAAATTTTGACCTCTTGGAATAGGGAGGGGATACATTGAACAGGTTACCAAAGTTGTACTTAAATAGTATAGGAAAGTATAGTATAGGAAAGATCATTTTGAAATCTTCTCAAGAACAACAAAACCATCATAAGTCTTCAATATGATTTAATATAATTTAATTTTGGTTTTAATGCATCATTAATCTTAACACAGCAAATAGTGAAATCTATTTATCCCCTGTGAGCAATGATTTTACATACAATCCAGTTTAGTCTTTAGACTTGAATCACTGTTTGTTTGCCCTCTCTCAACTCAAAGAAAAAAAAATGGGTTAGAAGACAGACATAGGTATAATTTTTACCCCTAGAAAATTCCAACATACATAATAGGATGAGAAACTTAGAGGAATAAAAAAGTATATTAATTTAAAAAAAAATGAATCTGGACATTTTGAGCAAGGCGGTCAGGAGAGGGCAACCCAAGAATTTTAAAGATAACTTGTACATTATTAGTTATTAGACACTTAGAGGGGTAATACGTAAATATGTGGGGTCCTTGAAAAAATCCATATTGGGCGAGGCGTAAGCCCTACATTTATATTAAGTACGCAAGTCTACATAACAAATTTATCCTGCCGATGGTTCTCTAAAAGACTAAATATTTTATGTATTGATATACCACTTTCACCGAGGGTCCAAGCAAGTCATTCCGCATCCACTGTTGTCGTCAGATGCATTGTGACTTCAGTTATGAAGCACCAAGCGGGGTCAGGTGAAAACAGTATATTTGATGATGTGTTGTTGGTAAATTTTTAATATGTGGTGGGTAGGTCATGTGGAGGGGGCACAATTAGCAATGTAAGGTGGGTAGACAGCATAACATCGTTTAATACAGTATTGCTCTCAGCCAATGAAATTTCTAGATTTTAAGTGCATAATTGTTGATCAGTGTATGAAACTCATCGTCAAAGAAGATAGACATGACTGTCAAATTTGCTCATTTGACAGTGACATTTCTTGTGCAACATGTTTTACTTTTTGTTGTAATCTACAAGTAGATGTTTTTTTAAGAAGAATATTTGAATGACAACCTCCACAATATTGAATTTAAATATAATCTTACTCTATCACAGACATAAAGTATTTTAGGACTATGTTAACACATCTTAATTTTAAATAAAGTAAAACAGGATTCTTTCTTAATTAATTTGTTAATAGAGAATTGCAATTTCCCTGTATTCCAACCCAATTTTTTTAAATAATTGACAGGCGGTATATTATTGATCTTGATATAGGAAGTTTAGAACATTATTTCTTAATTTTGGTAGGATGGCTTAAGGTGTAGATAATGGCATTTACTAATTACAAGAAAGTCTATTAACTCTCAAAAGTCAGATGTAATTTTTTTTGTACTAACTTGACTAAAAGGTGGTGGCTGTTCTGTATTAATTATACTAAAGAAATACTTCTCTAAGAACTGGTAGTGTAAGGATAGTCACAGACATGGGTTCAATTCCCATCATTACCAACAAACCATTTCAGTCTTTCTTAACTAACATTCTGGTGATGGTTGTTGAATTATTCAGTATTATTTATGTGTAAATATGATAACCATATTTTCCCTTTTTTAACAATTGATTGCTTATCACAGTCTTTGCAGAGTACTAACAGCACACACGTAAATTTGTTTTAGATTTCAGATCCTGCTCATGCCGTAATTGATAAAGTTATTAATAATGAGTTTCAACTGCAAACGTTAGATGAGACTGAACTTGAGCTTACAAGGCAAGATGAATATCTTGCCATTTATGGGCTTTATCGACAACCTATAGTGGGTGATGGGAATTGTCTTTTTAGGTCTGTTAGCTTTTCCCTCTATGGAAACCAAGACCACCACCAAGAGCTACGAAACTTGGCAATTCAAGAAATTGAACAAAATTTAGACATTTTTAGACTATATTTCTTTAATCCAAATGGAGTCCCAATGAATGATCTGGAAATTCAGCAGGAGTTAAGAAATTTAAGACAGTTAGGTACTTTTGCAGGTCAGGAATCAATTTTTGCTTTATCAAGATATTTTGGGGTCAATATTTTGGTTACAGTTGGTGGTGACCTTGATCATCCAGAGGTGGCAACTCTTGAACACGATTTTGGCAATTCTAATTCGCGTATTCATTTAATTTGGACAAGGCCTGGTGGGGGACACTATGAATCGGTAACTGAAACTGTACCAGTAAATAGGAGAATTTCACAACCCCATTCAGTTGGAATTAAAAGTAAATATCATTGGAATTTAGAATATGCAGCATGTAAGAAAATCGATTTAGATTCACTAGTTTCAAGTAAGGATACAAATAACCAAGAAATTAATTATTTCTCTGAAAATCCTCACTTAAAAACACCTACAAATTACTTTCAAACAATCCATTCTTACGGAAAATCCTCTAATGACTTACAAAAGACAAGTAGCTTGGAAAAAAATCAGTGTTCAATTTGTAAGAAAACATTTCACGATAAGGCAAATTTAAATAGGCATAAAAAAAATGTACATGATAAAGAAAATGATAAGAGAATGTCGTGCATTGTTCCCTCATGTGATGTGAACTTTTTCCATGTCGAAGATCTTGTAAATCATTTAATCAGCATACACGATTCAGATATTAGGATTGAAAACCTGAACTTCGATAATATTAATTCTTTTGAAAAATTTTTGGCAGAAGAGTCTTTAAAAAGAAATACTAGGTACATTTTACATCGGCCCAAAACATTAAATAAAGATGGATCACAAAGATATACCCTTGTTTGTCATAGGGATGGGAAAAAACGTACATGTGACAGTAAAGACAGGAAAAGGAGGGAATATAAAAAGGGTTCTTGTAAGTTAGATGGCCTTTGTTTATCCAGATTTTCAGTATTAGTTGCTAAAGATGGAACGGTTAAAGCTAAATACATACAATCCCACACACATTCAACCAATTTTGAAGAAAGTAAGTATCTTCCAATTCCAGACCACATTAAATCTGAAATTAAAACCATGTTAGCTCTAAAAATTCCAATAAATACTATTTTAGACAAAGTAAGGGAAAAATTCAGCGATAGGAACAACCGCGATGACTTAACAGATTTAAAACATTATCATTTAATAGATAGGAAAACAATTCACAACCTGAAGAAAAAAATAATTGACTCCTCTGTTATCAGACATAGTGACGATGCAACTTCAACTTTTCTAAGAGTAGACGCTTTAAAAAAAGAAAAATTTAATCCCATTTTAATTTACAAACAACAAAATGTAGATGACAGCGAACTTGGTTTAAATAAAGAAGACTTCATGTTAGCAATAATGACAAAACAACAACTAAAAATGTATGAAAAGTTTGCACCTTTAATTCTGTGTATGGATTCTACCCACAAAACTAATATGTACTCGTTTAAATTAATTACACTTTTGGTTCCTGATGAATTTAGGCATGGTTACCCCGTAGCATTTTGTATATCTAGTAAAGAAAACGAACAAGCCATTTCCCTGTTTCTTAGTGCTGTAAAAAACAAGTCCCCACAAACAACAGTTAATATTCTAATGACAGATGACGATAATGCTGGATGGAATGCAGCTAAAAAAGTTTTTGGACCTGATTTACAACATTTCCTTTGCATTTGGCATATACATAAAAACTGGCGATTGAAAATTCAACAGCATATCAAAGACAAAGAGCAGCAAGCAGAGATTTATTGTTTGTTATGTGCTGCAATGGATGCCAAGTCAGAATCAGTCTATAATAAGTATTCAGATGTATTGATTCAAAGATTGTCCGATATTAATCCAGCTTTATTAAAATATGTCAATGATTTTTATCTATCTAGAAAAGAAAAATGGGCAATGTGTTTTAGAAATTGTGAATATGCTAAAGTTAATACAAATATGTTTCTAGAAAGTTTCCATAACCAGTTGAAAACAGTTTACTTTGAAGGGAAAAGAAACCGTAGAATAGATGTCCTTTTAGAAACCCTACTTCAGATTGAGAACAACTTATATTTCAAACATTTAGCATCTCAAAAATTTAGCATGCCTTCTCAAGAAAATATTAAGACCTCTGATCGTCACCAAAGTAGTTTCGACATATGCGATTCTGCAATTTGCCAAGTTAACGAAGACACTTTTTCACTAGCTTCTCAAAACAATTTGTATACCATTATTGTAAAAGCACAAAAATGTCCTGAAACTCATTGCTACACAAAATGTAAAAAGGTACCATGCCTAGATTTGTGCAGACATATTCTTACATGCAATTGCCATGACTTTGAAGAAGGGAATATTTGTAAACATATGCACAAGGTCATGTCTTTACTTAATAAAGATACCCTTACAACCCCTTTAGATAAAAAATTTGAATTTGTTGAAAAGAATAAGGACAAGGTCATTGGTACGCCATTGAAGAAAAGACGAATTTCTGAAATCTCCAATGATGCAAAAATTCAAGGTATACAAGAAAGAATGGACAAAATTATGTCCCAAATAAAGAATGGTCCCCTTGTTCAACAACATAGGCTCAATAACATAATTTCTGCCCTAGATTGCATTATATCTGCCAATGATGGATGTGAAAATCTTCCTAACTCCCTTGAAGAGTTTACGCAAACTGAAAAAATAGCATCAAACGCTAACAATGTCTTGCAGCCACGTTTTAGGCCCACTACCAAGAATCCGGGTAGAAAGAGAAAAGATCCTTTGAGGAAACCCTCTCAACAAGAAAAAGATAATGTCCTTGAACGGCTTCAGCAACATAATCAACAAGGTCAAAACTCTGCTCCTTCTGATGAAATAGGACAAGATCAAAGGTCAGGGCCCTCTGTTGCACCATATCCCCCATTGAGACTTGTACATACCAATGAACCCCCTGTTTTACCATCACAAACACAAGATCCAGTCATTAATCTTAATGATCCTCAAGGTCTACCTTCCTGGTATAGGATTCCTCCATCACTTTATGGTAGGAGGATAACAGTTGTCCGAAGTGATGGGAAAAAACAAAGCATAATTTTCACAGGTGGACAACACCATACAAATGAGGATAAGGATAACTAAATAACTTTATAGGAATCTATTTCCTGAATTCAATGGTCATGGCTATATACATGTAAAAATAACATCTGTATGGAAAGGGATATTTTAGACTCCTTTCTAGGGCTTAGTTGTTCTTAGGCATAGGGAAAAGAAAAGTTCAGTCTCCATCTAACATTTCAGTTGTGTTATTTATTTTTGTTCATGCTTTCTCTTATTTTTTGTTAGATATACTGTCAATCTGTCAAAAATACACTAAATCTATGCTTGAATCATTTCCCATTATTTTATTCTCTAAAAATATATAATAAACATGATAAATATCATGATTGAGATAGAATATAACTATAAAACTAATTAATTTTACAACTATAAATTCAGTTTAAGCGTAGTTGACAACTGCAACTGGCATAAAGTCAGTCCAGTAGTAGATTGGCAATGGTAGATGAGCATTCTCCGTCTGCTCTAGGCCAGTGTCAAGTTGCATGTTGTCTCCTTTTTTTTTTGATGTACCAAAGTAACGATAATTAGTGTATAGATGATGGACACAGTAATATCTTTTTAATTTTTGTATTAAACTAACTTTTAATTAATTAATAACCAAAACACTTTTCATAAAAAAAAATATGGGTGAAATTTATAAACTAAATGTACATATGAATGACAACTGCAACTGGCATAAAGTCAGTCCAGTAGTAGATTGGCAATGGTAGATGAGCATTCTCCGTCCGCTCTAGGCCAGTGTCAAGTTGCATGTTGTCTTCTTGTTGACAGATAACAGATTTGATTTGGATATTATATGGTTAAATAAGTTGTTTTAATACCTGTTTTGGAACACTTTATTCAATTTTTTGTAATGTGCGAAATGAAAAGTGTTTTGTCCACTGTATTTTATATGAAAAAATAAACAAAAATAGTGTTTACCGTTCTGTTCTTGTTGAAAAGCAATATTACTTACTAATGTATAGGCTCTGACTTTATTGTTTATCTGTTCTGAATACCGTAAATCTGGGGTTTTTTTTCACATGTAAAAAATTATGCGAAAAGGGGGTAGATTTGTACATTTTTTATTTTGCACAAGTTAATTTTTACGATTGAAGATTTATTTTCTTAAAATGGTAATGTTTTTCATGTCACATGATAGCTGTTATAATTTCTGCGTGTTTTATATTTTGCGACTTGAAAATGATCAAAGAAAAGGTGAAAAATAGATCATCGCGAAAATAACTGGATTTACGGTATCTTTTTTTTTTTTTATCTTGCAGCAATTAACTATGGTAATGTTAATAAAACTCATCTAATGGTATATTAATAATTTAATACATCACAGCTTTAGATATATATAAAATTACATTTATATGTTGTGTCTTTATATAACATGTCTTCATTAAAGAAAAAAAAACCTAAACTATATGGTTGACAACTGCAACTGGCATAAAGTCAGTCCAGTAGTAGATTGGCAATGGTAGATGAGCATTCTCCGTCCGCTCTAGGCCAGTGTCAAGTTGCATGTTGTCTACCTTTTAACAATTGATTTAAATCAAATTTTATTAAGAAATCTAATCATACTCTCATATGTGTTGTTGTGTTGCTGCAGGAAGATAGTTTACATGGGCCGAAACTTTCCTGGTTGTGTCAAATTTTTAATTTTTTAGAAATTTATTACTCTGTACAAAAATGATCTCACAATGAATGTGAATTTTTATTTAAATATTGAAGATAGATGTTTAACTTATAAATGTGAATTATTTGCAATTTTTGAAATTATGAAAACCAGGAAGGTATCAGGGGAATCTATTGTCCATTTTGATGTCTCAGTTTGATCTCTTCTCTGACTGATGAGGCCCAGGGAGACAAATTGACACATGTATAGCTATGTATAACTCATGTAAGTTTGAAATTAAGTTAACTACCTAGTCTGTTAGGAGAATATATATATATATATATACTCATAATCAATAGAAATGCAAAACCCTAAGCATGCTAAGTTTAGGGTGAATATTATGTAGGGAATATTAAGTTCTATGTACCAAAAAAATTAACTTTCGGTAATGGAATGAAAATCATTCAACTGTTAAATAACTGATTTGGCAAAGTAAAAGATGTCCTAACTTTTTGGTACATAGTTATATCCGTATATAATTTTCACCTTAAAATTTTAGTGTTGGGTTTATATTGACTATGAGTATATATATATTTAATATCTATTTAATTATGAAACATTTCATTTTTCATTTGATAACTTAAGTTTTATAATAATTTAATTCTAGTTATAACATGGAATTTTATTGGATAAAAAATTACTGGATATTGTATGAATTGGGTTGCCTACATCACAATGACTTGCATCGAAAATGTATAGATCCAAATGTGAGTAATATTAATGTTATTTGTTTATCCATGTTATTATTTATGTTTATTCTGTGTTTCAGGTCCCAATAAATTGAATTCATCAGCAGTGGTAATTCTTTGGTGCCAATTCATCATTTATGTGACATTAACAAGAGAATTATAATTTGTATCAACGTCTATTAAACCATCATATTTTGAAATCATGACTCTTTGTACTTTCTTAAAAATACCTATTGTATGACATATGAAAAAAAAACAGCAGGGTCTTAAGACACACACTGGCCTTGTGGAATACAACATTTCTGAGTATCATGATCATCATAAATAATAATTAAACTTTTTGAATGTAGAGGGTTTTTAGAGGAATTCAATATAATCAAAATTTACATTAAAACAATATTTACATTTGTAAATGTTTTTCCTTAATAACACTATCTGAGTAAGGTGTATTTAATTAATAGTTTGTCATGTGACCTAAATTATTATTCAGTCATAAATAATTGACATATTTTTAGAGTGACATCATAATTGGTAGACAAGTTTACTATTTATATCTCTGGGGGTTTATATTCATTTTACCGGTTTAGAACTTTAGTACATACATACTATAGATTGCCAATTAGTCTCGAATGAATATATATTTCATTACCTATCATTAAAGACTTTTATCATGATGTAAATATGGTTTGCATGTGATTAAATCTACCATAAAGTCTTTTATGTTTTCTTAGATTTGATCTCATGAACAACCCAAATTGACATCACCATAAATGGGTTCATTATGTGACCATACATTTATCATTTACACAAGAAATGTTTTTATGGTTCTTGGTACACTGTATAGACATATTGTTGCAAAAATATATCATATATATATTTATATAATATATGTATTACTATATTTATTATCTGTAAAACCAATCTAAAGTAGGATTCACCTTATCAAAAAATTGTATAATTGATATATATACTGTAGACATACTTTTTTCCACAGGGTCATGATTCCGCGGAATCTCTGAATTTCTGTTTAGCGGTAATAGGTGTGTAGAAAATTTGCTTACATTTATATCAAGTACGTTTTGACAAATTTCAGTGGAAAATTTGTGACCGTGTACATAGTGTAAATTAATACCACACGGAAAAATGTACTTCTACAGTATATATATATGTTATACACTTGTAGTATTTTCATTGAAGGAAGAGTCACAGCTCAAGAAATTGTACAGGTCATATGCTAGGCCTTGTTTATTGATAAATGACAGTGACTTTTTAAGACATAAAGGAGAAAATATTAAATGAATTTAAATATATAATAAAGCCATAAAAAAATCGAAGGAATGTAGTTATGTAATCATCAGTGGGGGACATGTTGAACACATTAAATTTAAATGGTGTTAAACTTTCATCATGATGTTAATACAGGTTAATGTGACCTTGTATTTGCATCTGATTAAGGTTTTAAAATAATTTCGAAATTAAAATCATTTCATCTTTCCTTTTTTTCATCCAATTTGAATTATCTTTCTAATCTGAAAAACACACACACCAAAAGGGAGAAAACCCATTTTAAACTTCAATTCATAATTTCTCAACATCATTTGAGAATTTTCTTTGCATTGTATACAAGTTGTTCAAATTCAACCACTGGTTTATCAACACAAAAAGGGACATGCCCATCCAAAAGAGTACTGGTAAACAGGCATTTATTTATTATTATAATTATTAGAAAAAAATGGAATGGCCCAAAGTCCAAAGTAAGTACTGAAAAAGTGTTCTGTTATTACTAAAATCATATCCCTTAATCACAAGCTTTTGTTTCGTATAGAAGGGGTACCCCTTAATATATATAAGTACTAGGAGGTACCCCGTGTAGGAAGAAAGTGCCTCTGCCCTTAATAGGTGAACGTGTATAAGGAACCTCTCGCTACATTAAAACCCGATAACAAACATGGTATAATATATGAAAATGTGTGTGTAATTTTAAATAAGAATCTTGGAGGAGTTACATGTATGCAATACATAATTCAAGTTTTCAACATAAGATTTAAATTTTGTTACAAAAAAAAATTATTCCCACCTAATAAGGGAAGTAAAAGGAAAATTTGAAATTTCAATTTTTTTTTTACACAATCAAAGACAAAAACTGGACAGATGGAATTATAATTTAATGGAACATTTTTTTTTAAAGTAGGGAAAAGATTTTTTTCTTTAATTGATCTAAAAAACTAAATAAATATGATTTTATTTTGGTGTTCAGGAACATTTGTTTAAAATAATTCCACCTGACCATTTTTTGTCATTAATTTTGTAATAAAATTGAAATTTTAAATATATTTATTATAAATAACCCATTTTGTTTCGTTTAACGCTGTAACTGAGGCATCTTTTCTAAGAATTTGTGGCCTTTCGGCCTTGGCCTTGAAAAAGGCCGTTTGCGATGACTGGATGAACAGCAGACAAGCACCAGGAAGCTGTGTACGACTGTATGGAGAGAAGATGATGGACTGTTCTTCACAGGACCTGCCGAAGGACTGACAGAATGCTGTGATAGAAGCACCTGTTTCCATGATCATTCAGATGCACTCCATCCTTGTCAAACAAGTTCTTGTTAAAGAATTTGTGGGTAAAGAAGAAAACCTTCTTACCCTGCTCAAAAGCACCAAATTCCTTAGCAAGAAACCTGTTGACACCTTTCTTCTTGCGATCATAAGATCGCTCAGAAAGGCCCCTCGGCCGCTGTCGAGAGAAAATGGAGCCAACAATGATGATGGAATCAGGGTGGTTCTCTCGCAACACGGAAATCAGCCTTCTCAGCTTCACCAAGACATCAGTGGGTCCGGTCTGGTCGTTGATGTCATTCCCCCCCAGTTGAAGGAAAATAACTCCAGGACCAATGCTCTTCACCAACTCCATGTCCAGATGATAGACCTGTGGAACAGTCCTACCTCCAACTCCATGCAGAAGGACATCAGCATTCCAGAGTGGCATGCCCTTGCTGTGTGCACTCATCCAGTCTCTAAGTCTCCGCACAAAACTGTGCCCACACACCAAGACCTTAGTCTTCATGGTGCTGCTGTGAAATGACGCTTACAGGCACTGTGTGGTGTTTATATACTAAGAAAAGAGCGGACGTCACAGAGAACTGTGACCCGGATGTTGTGGAAATTTACAAGCCAGCTGCAGATAGAAAATTTGTGCTTCGTATGAGCAAAAAATCCTTATTTTCAATCGTGGTTTTACATATTTGATAAAAGTGGCGAAAAGAATTAAATGTTCAACTAATATGGCATTAAAAATTTGACCATTGAATGTTGTAAGATTGAAATATGATACGTTTTTTTGAAACAGAAACAAAGGACTTGCTATAGATACACTAATTTTTATAGTTTTAAAGCCATAAATACGGATTTAGGTAGGGAATGAAGTTAAAATAAAATAACTTAAACTGATATTATTTATTCTGACACATTACATTGTGCTGAAATGTACACGTGGCCCCGCAGTTAGGTTGAATAAGCATGTTAGAAAACACAACACCATATAAATAAGGTGTGTTCATGACTGAGGTACAATTTACACTGTCGTATAAAGAGGAGATCATGTGTAAGTTGGAATTTAACTGATATGATTATATATATTATTTAAAAAGCATGTATTAGTCATAAAAATATATAGATAAAAGTTTAACTTTATCTGAAGACATGCGGTATAAGAGCCCCCCCCCCCCCCCCCGATCTGTTAAAATGGATACAATATTAATTAAGAATTCATATGTGCTTTATATATTTATTTTATATGTACTTTAGCTTTTATTGGTGTTATGTAAAAAAAAATAGTATATTTATATATGTTGAATATGCAGGTTTAACACTATTCAAGTACTTAGCTTTTTAACAGGATGTATACAAAAAGTTCGCGCATGCGCAACTTGCCTAGTCCTACTTTGCAATGTGACAGGATGTTTATGAAAAGTTGGCGCATGCGCCGCAGCCTAGTCCTAAGGTTGCAGATAAGCTCCTTCATGGATAACACGTTGAGGAATTATGAACTTGATGAAGCGCTGTTTTTTCCTTTTTTCATCAACGGATATTTAATGGAAATTATTTTGTAAGAAAGCTATAGAATAGATATTTTATTGTTTACCCAGGCATTAATTTTTCTGCGTAAAATTCCATAATTGCTCGTAAAACTTCAAACTATCTTTCAAAACGATTTTTAGGAATTGACTGGCAACAATTTATTTGTTAATCCGCGGTGTGAGCGATGCCCCAACATCGGTCCGCGTTGGTCTAGTAGTCCTTCAAGTATTTTAAAGTGTTTTGATAAAAATGGCATGGTTGCCGACCGGACTTACAAAGGCCCAGCGATGCGTTACTTATCATAAAACGATGTCCCAGGGTAATCGACCGATGTATAGGGGCCTATTACGTCGCTCATACATTGATGAACATCGTTCATACGTCGGTCGACTATGGACCAATGTTTGGTTGAACAATGACCAATGATCGGCCGATGTCTGTTGCCCACCACTCAACCCTCCGATGATCTTGGATTCAACAGATACTTGACGATGCTTGGCCATTCCTTGAAAGATGTGTAAATGATGGGTTGCCGATGAGGAGCGATGTGAGGCATCTGTGGATACATTGCTGATTTTTAACTACGAATTATCTTCTACCGATGACCCCACCGATTCTTAAAATGGCCTCAGTCACCGTCCGATTACTAGTGGTGTCCGGCCGGCAACCACACCATTTTCATCAAAAAACGCATCGGTTTCTCATCGTATATCCCATCGCTGGAAAATGTGACTGATACTTTACAGGGTATGATTTGAACCTTAGCAGCAGTTGAAATGCCTATTTATAATTAGCTTATATAATTTTTTTTCAAATAAACAATGATTATCATTACGTGCTAGGAACAAGCCCCTGTGACAAATAGGGCCTTTAATTCTGCACAATTTTAGGAAATATTATTCCCTTTATTCTGAACGGCATAGTCATAACACACCTATTTACAGTTCTAAGTTTACCTTTAAATCTTGTCATGTGATCTGGAAACACCTGGTGTCACATGACAACAGTGAACCAGGAAGTATAAACACCAAAACGAAAGTACAGAATGACTGAACCACTTACTGAACAGCAGCGGAATAATGTATAATACAGGATAAAAGGCTAGGTAAAAATTTTTATTTACGATTGAATATTAAGATTATACTTTTATTTCAAAATGAGTTATACAATCTAGAAGGGCAATTCAAGTTTGATACTGTGAACACATTGAATTAAAACTACAAGATAAATTCAACTATGTGGTCTCAGAAGGAATTTGGTTATAATATACATTCCTGCACATTACAGCAATATATTGACATATATAGCTACAGCAATGTAGATCTCTTAAACGGATAATTTGGACAGATATACATATTAATACAAAAATGTATATTGTATCAGTTCTTCATTTGAAAACTTTATAACAACACTCTGTTTTTCATATTTCCTAATTATTTCCATTTAGAAAGGTACATTTAGTCCTTTCTTTGTGTTTAAAACCTGGGGTACTCAAGCAAAGTGTATGGCAAGTTAAAGAGAGCAATTACTCTTGGAAAGAGTTAAAACAAGCTAATTCAGAGAATTTCTGTCCCCCACTTAGGGAAAAAGTAAACCATGCGCAGGGGGTGGGGGGAAGGGGGGGGGGGGGTGGGTGAGGGGGGTTTGGATCCCCTCCACTGAATTTGTAGAATTATTAAATGTATACTGAAGCAAATGAAATATGCCAATATGGATATAAAGGTTTGATTGATTATTCTTTTTTATGTGTGTAGATGATTCTTTTAATATGGAATATTTATCACACTATAATTATGATTTTATGTGTTTGTACAAGCCAGACCTCATAAATTTTTCATTTCACATGCTGAATACTATCATTTAGTAAAAAAAAAAGTATTTTGAAAAAAAATGGATTTTTCGGGATGCGAACCCTGGCGCTCTCACATGTGAAGCAAGAAACATACCGCTAGACCACGGATCCGCATTATTATGGCGAAAATTATAAACAAACATTATGTCACATACATGTACCGGTACAGGTGTATATATTCACGTTCGATATATTGTCAAAATTTAACACAATGCATGTTGTCTAATTTAACCTTTATTACACAGTTCTAATAGATGTAATAAGAATATAAAGTCCGCCGAGAACCTGTTTTATACGCAATAACTCTCCTTCATGCCCCTGTGCTAAAAATAGCGACATGTAATACAATCAATACTAAAACAAACGGGGCGGGACACTTTGAGAGGGGTGAGAGAGGTCCTAGGGACTTTTAGTATAAAATTACATTGCAAAAGCTGAACATCCTCTTGAAATATCGCTCGAAAACGATAGTGTTACACACAAACAGAATGTATACATTTATGACCTTGAAGTTTGACCTTTTGACCTAAAATCAGTAGGGGTCTTCCTTAAGCCACAGGGAGTTGTTATGTAAAATTTCATTGCAAAAGCTCAAAGGGTTCTCGAGATATCGCGCAGAAACGAAAGTGTTATAACAGACAGAATTTGCGATTTCATGACCTTGACCTTTGACCTCAAAATCAATAGGGGTCTTCTTTAGTCCATAGGGAGATGCTATGCAAAGTTTCATTTCAAAAGCTCAAAGGGTTCTAGAGATATCGTGTGGAAACGAAAGCGTTACAGACAGACAGAAAGATGGACGGACCGACAGACAGACCTAAATTAATATCCCCCACTTTTCAAGCGGGGGACAAAAAATAATGGCCAAGGCACTATACCACTCAGTGAAGACAAGCGAAAATGGGTAGCATTATGAGCTGAAAAGTTGCATCCTACTTTGTTGATTTTTTTAACTTTGTTTATCAGCCCCCCTTCCCCCGCAAGAAAATTTTTTCTGTACATAAGAGACATGCAATTTTAACTGCAAGTAGTTAAAATCTAAGTTCAGATGAGAAGGTTCCAAAACTTATATCCATACATAGCAACAAGTACAAGAGGCCCAGGGGCCACATCACTCACCTGATCAACTAGCTAGCTAAAAAGCAAAAATAGTCAGTATGTGAAAACTTTATATATTTTAAAAGTGGGTTTCAGGGAGATGGGGGGGGGGGGGTGTATTTAAAACAAGAGACCCATGGGCCACATTGCTCACCTGAGCACTGTGGCTAGAAAAAAGTAGAAATTGGTTTATTATTTAAAAGTTTAAATCCAAAAGTAGTCCCATGACCAGTCATGGCTTTGCTATTCTTGAGAAGAAATTTTTAAAGAATTTTCCTATATATATATTTCAATGCAAAAATTTGGTTGGCCATTTTGGCCCTGCCCTACCCCTGGGGGTCATGATTTGAAAAAACTTGAATCTAAACTACCTGAGGATGCTTCCATATAAATATGATCAATTATAGCTTTGCTTTTCTTGAGCAGATTTTTGTAGAATTTTCCTATATAGATCTATGTTAAACTTTGGTTGGCCGTTTTGCCCCCCCCCCCTCCTACCCCTGGGGGTCATGATTTCAACAAACTTGAATCTACACTGTCTGAGGATGCTTCCATATAAATTATATGATCAATTATGACTTTACTATTTTTGAGAAGAAGATTTTTAAAGAATTTTCCTATATATTTCTATTTAAAACTTTGATCGACCATTTTGGCCCTGCCCTTACCCCCGGGGGTCATGATTTGAGCAAACTTGAATCTGCACTACCTGAGGATGCTTCCTTACAGACCCTAAACCGTGCTACTACACCACTTGAACGGTACGGTTCGGTACGCTTTGTGCACGGAACGGTACGCTTTGTGAACGGAATGGTTCGTTTTGAGAACGGTACGGTACGCTTTGTGCACGGAACGGTTCGCTTTGTGCACGGAACGGTACGCTTTGTGGACGGTACGTTTCGTTTCTTGCACGGAACGGTTCGTTTTGAGAACGGTACGCTTTGAGAACGGTATGCAATTGAAGTGGGCGGAGCCTGTTAGCTTTAATTCTTGATTGGCTGCTAAAATTTTATTCATTTTAAATTACTTTTGAAGCAATTAATGCATGTATATAATTATATTTCAGCTATTAACAAATTAATTTCTCGGTTTCAATTTGAACATTTTACACCACAGCGGTGATGGAGAAAAAATGAAAAAAAAAATGAAAGGAAGAAATAACATCATCCCAACAATGTCTTTGGCATTATGTACATGTATAGATATGTATTAATATATATAGAATTCGTAAATATTTCCGTATTTAATTTATACGTATGCTAACCCTTCATTTGAAAAAGGAAAAAAAATTACATATAACGCTATGCACATATATAAATTATTTTTAATTGATTGATCTATAGAAAAAATATGACTATTCCTGCTTCATTTTTATTCCTAGTAATTAAATATGTAAATTGCTTTTTTTAATTGTAGATCTATCGCTTAAACGTTTGCTTCAGAAGAGAAATATCAGTGAACAAAATAAATACAAAAATCAATAGCAGACACACGAAATTAATACAATAACTTCCGAGCGCTTTCTCGTAACAAAAAACATTCTTTTCACAGACAAGTATTTATGTTTTCAATAATCCTTTAAGTGTATTGAGTATTTATTTTTTAAGTTTTTCTTTATTTTATTAAGCTATTCTATTCTTGTTAAGTCTTTAAAAACAATGTCGTGAGAGAGAGAGAGAGAGAGAGAGAGAGAGAGAGAGAGAGAGAGAGAGAGAGATGCAAACCCTTAATACATGTACATTATCTGTACAAAAAAATAACTTGTATTTATTCTCATTATTCGTTTTATTTACATCGCCAAAGTCACAATCCGTCTATGATGCTATTTAATCAACCCATTTACAACTATTGTGCAATGAATAATCTGTTCTCTGTACATGCATGCTGCCGCATGAAATCCTCGTGCATCACCTGTCAATCAAAATGGCATGATGCTAGGTGACCCTGAAAGTCTGTTTACGCAAGAAGAATTTCTCCTGTGATTTAAAACATTCTTTTGGTCAGTTCATAGTTCACAACTGTCAAAAAAAAAATATTGGGTCACAACCGGAGAGACAGGGGAGGTGGGGGGGGGGGGTGGCGTGTGTTGAACACACCTATCAAATTATTTAGTTCTGACCACATCAAGTGTATTAAATCACTCAACAGACATCCAGCAAACTCATCTTCCAGGTTTCACCACAACACTGATTACAAATTTACTTCCTAAAGTATCCCTTTTCAGACAAAAATAAATAAGCATGTATCCCTGAATTATAATTTTCTTTTTTTACAAAAGCACAATTTAAAGCCACATAAATTCGCATAAGTATCGCCTTCTAGAGGGGGGGGGGGGGGGGTAACAAACAAGATGGCTTGAAAGAGGATTGATATATTTTATTTTTAAATTTCATTTTATTTAGTAAATTATCTTTTTTCAGACACTTATAAAAATGTTTCCTGTAGATTATGGTTAATTTTAATTTACAACAAAGTACACATGTATATCATTTTGCAGACTTTTAAAGAACTTTTAACCAGCTAATTCGTATTGCTTTCTAAAAAGAGGATGGGGGTAAAGTGTAACAAACCTTCATTTTTTCGCAAACTGTTTTTTTTTTTCATTTTTCATAAGATGTATTTCAGAATGAAGTAATATTTATACTGCAGTTTGCACATTTTAATTGCAAGAAATTCGGCTGGCGATTTTTGTATGCAGCGTGAAAGTTGATCACAGTTTTATTAGAAAGATTATCTCTGTCTGTTCAGTAGAATTCTTCATGTTTACCGCATGTAATATTTTAATCCATATTTTACATGATTACAGATTTTCAGTGCAAGTATAAGTGATTCGCCAATAGTAGGAATCTTAACAGAATTAATGTGAGAGTCTAATACGGATCTTTTTTAAATTTGACAGTTTATATGTTTTAAAATTCTTACAAAATAATTCATTAGTAAAATCCTGCATCTGATATGTACTACATATCATCATATGAATGCATACTTACGACAAAAACGATCTTGTATCCGATAACATTTAAATTAATAATTTAAATGAGCAGAATTAAAAATCAAAAGTAGAGACAACCAGCGAATTAATTCATGAAAGCGTGTTCTATCTCAGTTGTATTATAGGCTATTGAACTTTTTTTTATGTAAAATTATTCGATAGTCGGTCCTTTCGACTGACAGTCGAATAGTCGACTATTCATTGACATCCCTAGTAAAATACAATTATAGGATTATGAAACATGAATTAATGTACATGTGCACATTTAAGGCGGGTTTTCTTCCCCGGGCACGAGCACAATTATATTGAATTTTGGGCATCTTATAATATTAGTTTAAATATCTGTATTGTTAAATTACGAATATTTAAATAAGCTAATATTTCAAAAGAAAATTTATTTAATTTGCTAAAACTTGTAGTATGAAAATGAAAGACTTCAAAGACGCCGACATTGTTCGAGGTCCACTGTGCCCCGTACGTGTTTTGCGGGAAAAACTCGTGGCCTGTACTGTACCTTTGACCACAAACATAACCAGTTGATTTAATTTATAGAAAATAAGGAATCGTCTCACACTCTTTCTAGTTGTTTTGCAGTTGTAGTTTCCTTATTTTTACAGTTGAAGATCCAGACGCATGAAACTTGATAATTGAGTTTCGAACAAGCAGACACAACCTCCGTCCTCCTTTCACAGGCACCGTAGCGAGAAATAAACCAAAATGACTTATTTGGTCATTATACGATTCAAAAATCATTGGGGGCGTGGTTTGCATAATTAACCAAAGAACGGTACGGTTCGTTTCTCATCAGTTGCACGGAACGGTACGCTTTGTGGACGGTACGGTACGCTTTGTGCACGGAACGGCTCGCTTTGTGCACTGAACGGTACGCTTTGTTCACGGAACGGTTCGCTTTGTGGACGGTACGATACGCTTTGTGCACGGTACGGTACGCTTTCTGCACGGAACGGTACGGTTCGTTTCTGAGGTGTAGTAGCACGTTTTAGGGTCTGTATATATATGGTCAATTATGGCTTTGTTATTCTTGAAAAGAAAATTTTTAAAGAATTTTCCTATATTATACAATTAATTACCCCTTGTGAGGTCAACATGGTGAAATAAGGACCCGAGACCTGGCCCACGAGGTGACCTGATCTGACCGACGCCGCGTAGTGGCCGAGGTCAGGGCAGGTCATAGAGTGGGCCAGGTCGAGGGTCCTTATTTCACCATGTTGAACTCACAAGGGGTGATTAATTGTTTTATTATACCGATATATATTGAAAAAGTATGATATTAATTCTTTCTTTGATCGGGATCGGGATTCGCTACAGACCGAATAGTGAAGTTGTTTACATCAATTTTTTTGACGTCTGAAGTTGTGTAAGTTTTTGCATCATGATTTACTGATTAAAACAATGTTTGGTTCATAGAGACATACATTGTTATAACTAACGATTACTTTTCCTCTATACAGTCAAAATCTAACACAGAATTTACCTTTTTAAAGAGCCGCCTCTACATTCTATTGAACTGAATTGTAACGATATATTGAAACGATAAATTTTACCGTATTCTTTATGGTAATGCAAAACAGACCATGCACAATTTTAAAAACATGTTTTTTTTCGAATAATTATTATTTTATGCATTAACTTCACTAAAAACCGAATTTTTGATTAAGCGGTCATTTTTAGCGGTCATTAACAATAATGACCGGGTCATTATATCCCACGTGCAATGATTCCTAGGTCAGTATTGCTGTAAACTGTACCATTTGGAGTCATTGTTGTGTTTTAAAGTTTTCTTACCAGCCAATCAAATTCGAGTATTATCAATAGAGGTATAATAAATTTCTATGTAAAACTTTGGTTAGCCATTGTGGCGCCGCCCTACCCCGGGGGGTCATGATTTGAACAAACTTGAATATATAATACCTGAAGAAAATTCCATATAAGTTTCATCTATCCTGGCACAGTGGTTCTTGAGATTTTTAAAAGAATTTTAAAAAAATTCCATATATCTTTCTATGTAAAACTTTAGTCAGCCATTTTGGCCCCGCCCTACCACCCGGGGGTCATGATTTGAACAAACTTGAATCTAAACTACCTGAAGATGCTTCCATATAAGTTTCAGCTTTCCTGGCACAGTGGTTCTTGAGAAGAAGATTTTTAAAGAATTGTCCTATATATTTCTATGTAAAACTTTGGTCGGCCATTGTAGCCCCGCCCTACCCCCTGGGGTTATGATTTGAACAAACTTGAATCTACACTACCTGAGGATGCTTCCATATAAGTTTCAGCTTTCCTGGCACAGTGGTTCTTGAGAAGAGGATTTTTGAAGAATTTTCCTGTATATTTCTATGTAAAACTTTGGTCGGCTATTGTGGCCCCGCCCTACTCCCGGGGGTCATGATTTGAACAAACTTAAATTTGCACTACCTGAGGATGCTTCCATATAAGTTTCAGCTTTCCTGACACAGTGGTTCTTGAGAAGAGGATTTTTAAAGAATTTTCCTATATCTTTCTATGTAAAAACTTTGGTTGGCCATTGTGGCCCCGCCCTACCCCCCGGGGGTCATGATTTGAACAAACTTGAATCTGCACTACCTGAGGATCTTTCCATATAAGTTTCAGCTTTCTTGTGGCACAGTGGTTCTTGAGAAGAGGATTTTAAAAGAATTTTCCTATATATTTCTATGTAAAACTTTGGTTGGCTATTGTGGTCCCACCCTACTCCTGGGGGTCATGATTTGAACAAACTTGAATCTAAACTACCTGAGATGCTTCCATATAAGTTTCAGCTTTGCTGCCACAGTGGTTCTTTAGAAGAAGATTTTTAAAGAATTTTCCTATATATTTCTATGTAAAACGTTGGTCGGCCATTGTGGCCCCGCCCTACCCCCCGGGGGTCATGATTTGAACAAACTTGAATCTACACTACCTGAGGATGCTTCCATATAAGTTTCAGCTTTTTTGGCGCAGTGGTTGTTGAGAAGATTTTTAAAACATGCCACCAAATTTTTATTAATTCCCAATTATCTCCTCTTGAATGAGGGCGTGGCCCTTCATTTGAACAAACTTGAATCCCCTTCACCCAAGGATGCTTTGTGGCACGTTTGGTTGAAATTGGCCCAGCGGTTCTTGAGAAGAAGTCGAAAATGTGAAAAGTTTACAGACAGACGGATGGACAGACGGACTACAGACAAAATGTGATCAGAAAAGCTCACTTGAGCCGAAGGCTAAAAACTTAAATCTACACTCTTAATCTTTAACCTAAGAATGCTTTTGAATTAAGATTAAGATAAGATGAAAATTTTTATTGATAAAGCCTTCAGGTCTACATAAATAATTGTGTTTCTGGTTCCCTGACTGACCCTGAAACATAGGTATTGGTAATCAAAGATTACGAAGCTCACCTCGACGAATGTTATCAGTTTAAGTAATGCAAATCTCACATCATATTTTTTTTCTTAACAGTTTGTACTTATTCTGACAACCATATTCAAGCAAGTTCTGTTTAAACAGGTTTTACGGTTCTTTGGGGATTGACCTGTTCCAAAAACTTTAACCTGATCACTTGTTTGGAAAATGTAGGTCAGATCAAGCATACCAAGCTAGTTTAGATTGTCCATCCCTACATGCATTATCCATGCAAGTTTGGTCCAGTTAGAGCTTAAAGTTTATTGGGAATAACCTGGTCACTAATCTGGAAAATGAAGGTCAGATCCAGCATCCGAAGCAAGTCTGGTAATGTCCATCCCTAGATGCATCATCCATGCAAGTTTGGTCTGGGTAGGGCTTATAGTTACTTGGGAATGGACCTGCTCCAAAAACTTTAACCTGGTCACTCATCTTGAAAATGTAGGTCAGATCCAGCATCCGAAGCAAGTCTGATAGTGTCCATCCCTAGATGCATCATCCACTGGTAGGGCTTTTAGTAACTTGGGAATGGACCTGCTCCTAAAACTTTGACCTGGACGCCGACTCTAACGCCGACGCGGGGGGTATAGCATAAGCTCATCTCAACTTCATCGAGGTGAGCTAAAAATTGTAGAAGACTCTGAAATTTTTTTTCTGCCATTATATCTTTCCAGGAGTAAACTATTTCAGTTTTACTATTAGAAATACTAATCTGAATCCCTTCACTGTTTGAAAAATGCATTTGATATGCACATTTATCAGAAATATTTTGAAAGTGATTTCTCTGGGGGAAAATGGCAGTGTGCTTGCTAATAAAATGTTTTAAATAAAATAAAATGTTTTCCCTATCTACATACTGAATATTTTTCAACCAGGAATAAGAAACACACTATTTATTTATCTTGGCCTTATATTCCTTTTTTATGTTAAGATCCACTATTATGGCTCCTCTATTCTCCTAATTGGTCATGATTTAAACAAATTTATATCTACATTACCTTTTTTGATGCTTTTAAATTTATGATCAATATCAATCAGGGCTTTGTGAAGAATTTTAATGATTTTTCCATGTATGCCTATATATTCAAAACCTTGATCACCCATTGTGTCCCCGCTCTACCCCAGTGGTCATGATTTGAACAAACTTCAATCTACACTACCAGAGGATGCTTTCATGCATATAATTATGACCAATCATGGCTTTGATGCTCTTGAGAAGAAGATTTTAAAAATATTTTCCTATGTATTCCAATGTTAAACTTTGATCCCCCATTGTGCCCCTCCTACCCATGAGGGTCATGATTTGAATGAACTTGAATCTACACTTTCAGAGGATGCTTCCATATATAACTAATCACAGCTTTGCTGTCTTTAAGAAAAAGATTTTTCTTTCGTATTCTTTTGTTAAATTTTGATAACCCACTGTGGCCCCACTCTACCCTACCCAGGGGTGATGATCTGAACAAACTTAAATCTTTACTACCAGAGGATGCTTCAACATGAGTTTTATCTTTCCTGGCCTAGTGGTTCTTGAGAAAAGATTTTTAAAGATTTTTCCTATGTATTTGTATGTTAAACTTTGACAACCCATTGTGGACCCATCCTACCCCCTGCAGGTTATAATTTGAACAAACTTGAATCTACACAACATGAGGATGCTTTCCTTATATAAGTCATTCATATTTTACAGATATGGTCATTATTGTGAGATAACATGGCCACTGCCACCAGCCAGGCACAGGAACTCATAACCTGTGACCTTTGTGTCAAACCTGTCCAGCAATTCTGTAACAGCTGCCAAGTCGGTCTGTGTGAAGACTGCATCAACAAACATGTCAAGAGCCTCAAGTCCATGAAGCATGACATTGTTCCTTTCACAAAGCGTACAGTACAGCTTGTGTTCCCTCAGTGTACATCTCATTCCCACCAGAGATGTGAGGCCCACTGTCAACAGTGTGATGTCCCGGTCTGCATCAAATGTCTCACTGGTCAACATAGGGGTCACATGTCTGAAGACATGGCAGATATAATTATCAAAATCAAACAAAAAATCAAAAGAGAAACTGAACAAATTGAGGTCATTATTCCCCAACACAGAAAAAAAGATAGAGAAGCTGAAAATAAAATTTCCAATTCCATGGCCCACTTTGTACAACTAGAGAAACAAGCTAAAAATCAAAGAAAACACTGGCACCTAGAGGTGGACAGCATCTTTAACAAAATGGAATCCCTGATCCAGTCACTCAGAGATCGTCATATTACAACTCTAAAATCATGCCAGTCCAAACTCAGAAGTCAGAATTCCACTATGACCAAAACTGTTCAAGAAAACAAAGAAATTCTGAAGTCCAACAAAGTGTCTGATGTCAACAACTACCAATCTAAACTGAAGGAATACAGGAATATTCCACAAATACCTGATTTACCATTGCCTTCTCTTCAAACTAACACAGTCCAAGGTAGAGAACTCAGCATAGAATTAGGAGAATACAAGGCTACACTGACACAGAAATCACTATCCAGTCTGACAGATGAAGTATCCTTTTTATCAGTTAAGAAATTATTAGAAGAAGCCAAAGTGATTGCTAACATTCCAACAAATGTTAAAAACTTAGGTAGAGTGGCCTATGTAGGATCAGATACAGCTTGGATTAGTGGAGAAGACAAAATGATAACCTATGTGGACATACATGGAGCTGTACAAGACACTGTCACCAGTACATGTGATTACTTCCCTGGTGACATTACAGTGACCAAACAGGGAGAACTGATTTACAGTGATTATATCAATAGAACTGTGAACATTGTCAGAGATGGGAAGACTGAGACACTGATCACCACACCAAGGGGCTGGCATCTAGAAGGACTGTGCTGTACCAGGTCAGGGGACATTCTAGTTAGCATGATTACTACTGAAATAAGTCGTTATAAAATAGTCCGTTATCAGGGACAGAGAGTGACACAGGAAATAGAAAAAGATGAACGTGGTGATCCAATCTATCAAGGAGGTGTACATATACTGTTTGTGGTGGAAAACAACAATGGAGACATAGTTGCCTCTGATCACAATGCTAGAGCAGTGGTAGTGGTGGACAGGAAAGGAAAAGTCAGATTCAGATATAACAACAAACCTCCAGGGGGAACGAAATCATTCTCTCCAAGACAAATAGTGACAGACTCCATGGGTCACATTATTGTCACTGATGAATTCAATAACTGTCTACACATCCTAGATCAGAATGGACAGTTCCTGAGATGTGTGGATAATTGTGGACTAGAGCGTCCTCATGGACTGAGTGTGGACAGTGAGGGGAGGTTGTGGGTAGGGTTGTATCTGTCAGGGGAAGTGAAAGTCATCCAGTACATGAAATAAACAGCAATGTTTATTCCTTTTGAAATGTCTGTATTACGAATTAATTACATTAATTAATAAAACATAACATGAAAATCATCTAGTATTCGAAATAAACACAAACAAGATGTGTTTGTGAAACACTATGCACCCGGTGTCAACAAAGTTCGAAAAAGCTATTTTTAGTATATAGGTCACAGTCAAGGTCACAAGGTCATTGACCTTGGTGTTGTTTGTAAGGACTTAATTAGTGGGGTATGCATACTAAATATGAAGTCCCTATCTCCTATGGTTCAAAAGTTATGGCAAAAAGTGGAAAAAACTATTTTTAGCATATAGGTCACAGTCAAGGTTACATGGTCATTGACCTTGGTGTTGTTTGAAAGAAGTTTATTAGTGGAGTATGCATACTAAATATGAAGTCCCTATCTCCTATGGTTCAAAAGTTATGGCAAAAAGTGGAAAAAGCTATTTTTAGCATATACCGTAGGTCACAGTCAAGGTCACAAGGTCATTGACCCTGATGTCATTTGAAGGAACTTTATTAGTGGAGTATGCATACTAAATATGAAGTTTCTATCTCTTATGGTTCAAAAGTTATGACAAACAGTTGAAAAAGCTATTTTTATCATATAGGTCACAGTCAAGGTCACAAGGTCATTGACCTTGATGTCATTTGAAAGAACTTTATTAGAGGAGTACGCATGGGTACCTGTAAAGTGCGAAACGAAACAGAAACGAAATGAAACGAAACGAACTAAAACGAAACGAAATCTGCCGAAACGAAACGAAATCTACCGAAACGAAACGAAACCTACCGAAACGAAACGAAATCAAGACGAAACGAAACGAAAACAAAACGAAACTTGATGAAACGAAACGAAAACCTTTCAGATTTTTTTTTCAATTCAAGCTATATACATGTAGTTGTATATAATGTGTAACTGCATATGGTTTATTTTTACTATATATGAAATTTATATAGTTCAAGCACCACAGGCAATTGTTTTGCTTCAAGCTCAAACATAGGTGTCGAAAGGAAATTGAAAGTGGGGGGGGGGGGGGGGCTTTACAAACAAAAAAGGTCAACCCCAATTGTCAATGCCCTTATAATAAATGTCATTGCAAAAAAGGGGGTTAGCCCCCTCCCACTTCCGACGCCTTTGTCATATTTTGTTAATATCTTACTGACTAGTTTACCTACTTAAATGACATCGTTTGCTTCGAGAGACTTTTTTCTCGTCAGTTAAATCGTTTTAGACGTCTCTGATCGAGCCTCTTTATTGTAAACCACTCATTTCTTCCTCGAAAATTACCTCAATAAAAATATGACCGTATGAATGTAGAAAAGATACACAAGATTGCGATTGGAGTTGCATGTATAATTGAACTGCACATATTGAAATTATACATGCATGTACGCTCGTGCTTATTTGCAGCTGGCAAACATGTAAATACATCATTAGACTGACAAGGCAGCATAATTTATCGGTAATTAAATCTTATATTAACAAGTGCATGAACTATATAAATTTTATTTGAAGTAAAAAAAAAAGTCCACATGCAGTTACACATTTGAAGAAAAAACATTTTGATAGTTTTGTTTCGTTTAGTTTCGGCAGGTTTCGTTTTGATTTCGTTTCGTTTCGGTAGGTTTCGTTTCATTTCGGTAGATTTCGTTTCGTTTCGGCAGATTTCGTTTTGTTTCAGTTCGTTTCGTTTCGTTTCTATTTCGTTTCGCACTTTACAGGTACCCGAGTATGCATACCAAATATGAAGTCTCTATCTCTATCTAGTTTTGGCGAAGGTTAAAGTTGACAACAGACAGACAGACAAACAGACAGGACAAAAACAATATGCACCCCGAAAAAATTCGGGCGCATAAAAAACTCCAGATATTTTCTTGCATTCTGTGAATTACTGCAAATGTTCATAAATTAAGGTCATACGAAACAATGTCCTGAGCATTTTGGGTTGTATACGGAAATGATTTCATCTGAGCAACTTTAATAAGCCTGAAATCACATTTAGGATTTTTATGCTAGTTAGAGGCAGCAGAGTTGATCAAAATTACTTGACTGAAAAAATGAATTTCAATTAGCCTGGCTTATTTCCCTTTGCTTATGACGTCAGTAAGACCCAGTCCCTACATTCAATACTAAAATTCATACAACGATCATGTCTTTTGCAGTGTAGTTTTTAAGAAATGTCATTATCTTGACTACAAGAGGCCCATGGGCCACATCACTCACCTGAGCACTAAGGGTAGGAAAAAGTAGAAAAAAGCTTTTTATTGTAAAGTTTAAATCTAAAAGTGGTCCCATGAACCAATCATGGATTTGCTATTTTTTAGAAAATAATTTTTAAAGAATTTCCCTATATATATCTTTAAAAACTTTGGTCGGCCATTTTGGCCCGCCCTACCCCTGGGGGTCATGATTTGAACAAATTTGAATCTACACTACTTGAGCATGCTTCCATATAAATATGATGAATTATGGCTTTGTAATTCTTGAGAAGAAAATTTTTAAAGAATTTTCCTATATATTTCTATGTAAAACTTAAGTCGGCCATTTTGGCCCTGCCCTACTCCCGGGGGTCATGATTTGAACAAATTTGAATCTACACTACCTGTGCATGCTTCCATATAAATATGATGAATTATGGCTTTGTCATTCTTGAGAAGAAGATGTTTGAAGAATTTTCCTATTTATTTCTGTTTAACTTTGATCGGCCATTTTGGCCCCGCCCAACCCCGGGGGTCATGATTTGAACAAACTTGAATCTACACTACCTGAACATGCTTCCGTATAAATATGATGAATTATGGCTTTGTCATTCTTGAGAAGATTTTTAAAGAATTTTCCTATGTATTTCTATGTAAAAGTTTGGTCGGCCATTTTGGCCCCGCCCTACCCCCCAGGGTCATGATTTGAACAATCTTGAATCTACACTACCTGAACATGCTTCCATATAAATATGATGAATTACGGCTTTGTCATTCTTGAGAAGAAGATTTTTAAAGAATTTTCCTATATATTTCTATGTAAAACTTTGGTCAGCCATTTTTCCCCGCCCTACCCCCGGGGGTCATGATTTAAAGAATTTTAATCTATACTACCTGAGGATGTTTCCCCATAAGTTTCATCTTTCCTGGCACAGTGGTTCTTGAGAAGAAGATTTTTAAAATATGCCACCAAATTTTCATTAATTCCCAATTATCTCCCCTTGAATGAGGGCGTGGCCCTTCATTTGAACAAACTTGAATCCCCTTTACCCAAGGATACTTTGTGGCAAGTTTGGTTGATATTGGTCCAGGGGTTCTTGAGAAGAAGTCGAAAATGTGAAAAGTTTACAGACAGACAGACGGATGGACGCCGGACAAAATGTGATCAGAAAAGCTCACTTGAGCCTTCGGCTCAGGTGAGCTAAAAACCATACATGAATATATGATGTTCTAACAAGGCAGTATTTGTCTTTTATCACCCTGTCGTATATTTGTAAGATTTTAGCATGTTTTGTCCTTGCATTTTATCATCGTCCTTTGACACTTCAATCTAGGGAGAGCTGTTCTGTACCCGAGTAATATGTGAATATAGATGCTGTCAAATAGCATTTACAGTTGAATATTTTTACCTTTCCAATGTCTTTATCCAAGATAAAATTACAAATAGTTAATGTACTTTATTTCCTCATCAATGTACTGGTTCATCGAAAGGTGAGGTTAAAAAAATTATGTGCAAGGCGGAGAAATAGAGACAAGAAGCACGGCTTCTAGCACGTGGTTTGGTGGAATCAAGAGCATGTAAATATAAGGAATAACTGTCATATTTTTCAATTTCATGATGCTGATCAATCGATTGGTTGGCGTGATAACTTTATGCATAAATGCCGAAGGCGTTTATGCAAATTATCAAGCAAGCCAATTGATTGATCACATCAAGGAATCAAAAAATAAGACAGTTATTCCTTAAATAAATTTCTAATACAAGAATATTGATGATTTGTTTTCCAATCAAATAATTTAAGCCATGGTCAGATTATGCTATCTACATACTCGGTAGCACACACATTTAAATAAAGCTTGATTCAATTGACCACGGTATGTGAAAGTGAAACTATAAACCTGTAAATAAATGATTTATTTCTGGGAAATGAAATGATTCTATCACTTCCCCTCTCTCAATCACTTTCCTATTTCTCTTTGGCTTTCCCTGTCTTGATGACTCTTTTTCTCTCTCTCCGAATCTTTTTTTTTTAACCACAGTCAGTACATATAGACTTTTTTTATCGTAATAATTTTAACTTGAGGCCCAGGGGTCATATCGCTCTAGGTAAAAGCAAAAATCAGAACGGTTTTGAAAAGTTTGAATATACTAGTAAAAGTGGGTTCGGGGGGGATTATTTGAACAAACTTAAATCTTTACTTCATACGGCTGCTTCTAATTAATATGATACATAATGCTTTTTTGTTTAAAAGATGAAAATTTTTATTGATAACAGGTTGGGGGCAAACATAAATTCCGCTATAATAGTGGTACATGTATCTCACTATTATAGTGAAATTACGCTATATTTCCTGCCTTGGATACCCTCAATTAAGTCAATTTCATCCAATACCATGCAAGGCGTTTGAACCGCAAGTCATATTGGGTATTAAAATGAACAAAAACTGTCATGCTTGCATGTTTTGAATTTTAATAAATTTTCTACCGTTGCGTTTAAAAATGTGAGCACTCTTTTTTTTAACAGAAGTTGCATTTTGACAAAAACAGCAAAGGTCCGAAAAGAATAAAGAGTTGTAAGAGGACAAAGACAGTTTTACATGCCATTTTCTTAAATTTTAGTGGCCTTGTTGTTCAAATTCCTATCCGGGGAGGCAGTTCAATTTCTAGAGGAGTCTAGAGAGCAAAATTTTTTGCAAACAATCGAAAGGTTAATGAGAGGAAGGAACCAGAATCAGGAATCCACTACATTAAATTTGTTCAAATCATGACCCGCAGGTTTTGAGTGAAATTTCTTAATGACAGCGTCAACGCCAAAGCCTGAAGAGAAAAAGTGTTTGGGGGATAAACAGAAAGTTAATATTTTGTCACACCAACAATATTCACCAGGGGCTCGTAACATAAAGCTTGCTAAGTTTTTGACTTAAGTAGGGTCGTAAGTACGTTTTAGGCACAATCTTAGGACCTGTCTAAGTACTACTTAAGTATGTCTTAAACCGTAACATAAAGCGAACTAAGCGAGGTTTTAGCTAAGTCAAACTTATGTTAAAAATATTTCATATGAGTCAACCAATGGTTTTTGATTTTATATAGATATATTGCTAAAAGTTATTCAGTTAGGGTTTTAATTGATTACATATTAATGTTGACGTCCTTGCCTATCGGTTTAAGTTATTTTAGATTAGATTTCGTATTAAAATTATAATTATGTTATGAATTGTTCGGAATGTTTGGAAACAAATACCGCACGGTCAGAAAGTGGCGATTTGTGATTCATTGTAAATGTACGACAATTGTTTTATCACCTGAAATGTTTTCAGTTTACCTTTTGTAACTCTTTTGTTTTGACAAATGTTCACTTAGCCTGTTATTATCGCAGACAAGAAAAGATAATCACCCTTTATCTACTTAAAATTGAAACTCTAAAAAGTTCAATACATGTTGAATTTCTGCTATGTATTATCAGGCCATGCATGTCAGAAGCAAAAACTGCGGACGTTTTATGATATACTCATTTGCAATTTAATCAAGGATACAAAAAAAAAAAATCGGGATTTTTTTTCATATGTCTCCACTAAACAGCAATTCTCTCTCTCTCTTTCTCTAGAACTGTATAGTGAGCCCTGTCTAACTCCGCACATGTCGCGTTCTACATTTATTATACTTTACAGATACTTTTTTCTAATATTATTGTTTCTGTCATTATCCTCTTTCTTTTCTGTTTTTAACAAATTATTTCAACTCATATTTTCAAAGTGAACATACAGATCCATAACCGAGACCCCACTCATTTCAGACGTATCCCTAAAATTAAATTTTGTATTTACATGAATGCTGTGTAGGGAGTGATTCCTAAAATTATTTTTATTTATTTACATGTATGCTATGTTGGGAGTGATATTGGAATCAGTGATCACCCCCTTCCCCCCACGAAAAAATAAAATTCTTAAATCATGCAGCGTCAAATAGAGATAATTATTTTCTTTAATGTATATTATGAATAGAGAAATGTTTTAACATCGAAAGTAAACATTAAATAATTCTAAATGTATGTACAAGAAAGTTAAGATATACTTAAGTCACCTCTACCGACTGCCTAAGTTTTGCTAAGATTGCCAAATCTTAGCACGCTTCTAGTTACGGTCTTAAATGTTAGCCTGTACTTCAGTCCTACTTAAGCACGGTGTTAGACTTAAGTAGCCTTTGTGTTACGACCCCCTGATCCTTACTTGGTTCATTTTCCAAACTTGAAAAAAACAATCAGAAATTGAATAAAAATGTTACGAACATGTGTTTTGATTAAAAGAGAATATTTGAGTGATATTTAAGTGATATCATTAAGATTAAAGCGTTGAAAAGCTTCATTTGCTTCTTTCCTAGCAACGAGGACATTATTTATTGAACAGCCCTCGTACATCATAGGGAAAGGCTAGTTCTTTAATCCAAAATTCTTTCTCCGTTGTCTACGGAAAGGTGAACAAAGTGATTGACTCTCAAAGGAGTGACGCCTTTTTATACTGGAAAATTTAAAGTGTTCAAAAGTCATAGTTCTGATTTTTTATTGATTTAAGAAAAACTCTAAAAGTTCTTTGGGTTTTGGTAGCTACATTTGATTAACACAACTTCTCGAATATGTTGTTGCATAATATTGCTGAAGTTTATTCTTTAGAACTTTGCCTCTTTATTTTAAGTATGTATTGTAATGTATAGTTTGTTGACGGTCTTCAGAGTTTTAGACAGCTTATTACTTTGCGACAACTAGACAGTACGTATTCTATTTCTTTATAGAAAAAAAAAATTCTTGTAAAATTTACTTTCTGACATTTGTTCTCTCTCTGTAAAACTGCGTGCAGGTAGGACGTTTGTGGCTTTGAATAATCCATAGACCTAAAGTGCCTTAGGTCTATGAATAATCTGATAGTTTGTTTAAAAACCGTTTTCTTAGAAAAAATATAAATGCTTTTGGATAAAATACATTATTAAATTAAACGATAAAATCAATATATGGACAAGTATCGTAGAGCTTTAAGTGTTTCCGATGTATTTTTCTCAACAACTGTCACGAATGAGTTTTAGTTGTGATGTCTCCTAACGCGCTAAAAGTCGTTTTAGAGATTTGTTATACTAACTTTTAATAGTTTTAGTACCGTTAGGTGCAAGTTAAAATCACCAATTACCTATGAATTATGCTACCCAGGTTTCTGCCTCTTTTTTGTCGTATTTTTGACTACGTGATAAAGTATCAAAATTATCCTCTGCCGTAAATTGCCACAAAACTTAAATCATACAAAAATGGTAATGAAATATTAAATTTAATATCTTTACGAAGCTGAGATAAAAAATACAATTTATTACATTAAATTCATATTATTAGTTTTTTCAAACATAAAAAATACACCATTACACACTTGCACTATTAAATTCGCTAATAAAACTTTATTGAATTATTTCTTTGCAACTTTGTACGCTTATACAACTGTTCCGATCTTAGATATTGATATATAAGGCTTCATAATTTTCCCAAGGCATTTTGATAGATTTGTAATCATTTTTAGGTTCCTTTTATTATGAAATAAAATATATACACTACTAAGGATATAAACTTTCCAAAACTTAAGCTTGCAAAATATATCTGTTTTGAAGCTGTACTCTTTTAAACATGCATATTATTCCATTTTTATAATGCATAATTATGCACACTACTTTTGAACAGGTAGCATTAAACATTAAAATGAAGTCATACAAAAAGTATTCTTTTGAATATATACTAAAAATAAAATTGTGCATTTGCATACTCTCTCTCTCTCTCTCTCTCACTCTCTCTGTCTCTCTCTCTTCTCTCTCTCTCTCTAGAATGCTATAACTCTGACACCAACAAACAGTTCCTTTAATATTCAAAAGCATTTTTTTTGGAATACATTTCATTGCAATAGAAATATTTTGATTCTCTGGTTTCTGACTAGATGAAACATTCAAAGTATATTTGCTTATGTGTCTTATATATGGAGGTGTAAGGGATTTAAAAGACCATATTTTTCTTTCCTCATCACAATTATACAGCTTTAAATAGAAATGATAAACTGCGTTTGAAAACTAGCAGGGACTATATTTGTGGCGGAATGGTGGCGTATGAAAATATCTTCTTTTCTGCCTCTCAAAATTATAATAGAACAATGAATTTAGTTATGATTTTTACACTATCGAAGACTTGGAGAAATTTTCAAATGTAAGTTAAATTAATAATGAGGGACTAAAATTTCAAAATATATCAAATAAATATGATTTTTCAAACAAACTAGAACTTTGTTAGCTTTTAAACGCTGCAGATTTGAGCCAAAAATCCATAAAAAGTATTTTTTCTCTCTTAGTAAACGATCAAAACTTTTTGTTTTTGTATCATTTTGTACATTTATAAGGCTACTTTATTATATGTGAAAATAAAAAAAAAGTTAAAAATAGGAAGCATTTGAAAATACCTAATATATACAAAAAAATAAGAAAAACAGAGAAAACTCGGATTAGCCAATATCCTGTTTAGTTAAATTATTTATGTAAATTTGGTAATATCATGCTATAGATCCGATGTAGTAAAATGTTTTTATGCGAAAAGAACAATCTTAAAATTTTGAAATAGAAGTAGGTATCACATGATTAACAACAGTATTTTTTTATTCGTAATGTCAAGGAAAAAGATAATGTCCTTGACCTGACCTTGCCTCTAATATAAAACAGTCAAATTTAATCTCACTGATACTATCACTTACTGATATTGTCTTCTTGATTCTGTGAAAATTTCATTAATTTTTAAATATTATAAATATGAGAAGAATCCTACCTTAATTGCAAGAAATGTTGAAATATAATAGTTCGTAATTTCCGTTTGACTTTTTTCGCGATGATGTAAAACAAAATATGAAAAAAAAGCATTTTTACAATAATGCTCAAAGGTTCAATTAATCGCTTAAAAATAAGAGCTGAACAAACACCCTTGAAATGATGAGAGGTGGGATAAGGTGTCATGGTGGAGTAGATATCCCCCGTCGACCTTTTACACACGCTGTGCTCCTCTTTTGTCTTATAATGTGAAAAGAACAACATAATTATCATTAAACAGAACAGTCAAAATTATCCTACTTAATGACAGGTATTATTTATTTACTTATCTATTATTGTAACGACCAAAGAATTTGCAAAATGATGATAATATGTAGAAAACTAATTAAATCACTTAAATAAAAAAAAAAGATTAGAGGTTTGGAGTAAGGGTTGCAAATTCTGGGATGTTATTATTTAACTTAAAAAAGTTTTTATTGGTTTAATATAACTATGAACTATTTTATAATGTACATTATAACAAAAAAAATTATTCCACATTATCAAACGAATAGTGTATTATCAAATACATTTTGTTAACTCTGATATACAATATTAATTATATCACATCTCTTTTAATTGCATTTAACAGTATGAGATTCCATGAAAAGCTTTAAGCTGAACACAAAGTATTCGCAAACATCCTACAGCAGTAAATGACGTCACAGCAACGTTCATCCATATTCCTTTTTCAATGTGTAGTAAAAACAACATGAGAGGATGACTCCGAAAATCTGTAAAAGACAGGGTTTCAAAATTATACAGATTGTATTTCAGACAAGGAAAAATGACAACGGTGATAGCATGAACATATCTGAAAAAGTATTTTTAAAGTGTCTTATAAGCTAAATAAAGTGTCTTAAAAGCTAAATAAAGTTATACTGAAAACTCAGAGGGGGTTTTAATATTGAAGTTTCATATAAATTGTAAGGCCATTATTTACATGCTGAATTTCCGCGGACTTTTTTTTGTTATTTCCCAAACATGAGCACACGGCGTGTGAGCGGTTGGCAAGGGATGTTCACTCCTCCATGGCACCTGTTCCCACCTCTGATGGTTTTGAGGTCCATATCTGCTCTGGTCTAAAATTTGTTTTGTTTAATGGACTTTTGAGCTTGAATTCTGGTCGTTACCTCCACATATTAATTTAGAAATTTTGACTTCAAAAACACTTAAGGTTATGTAAGTGTACCGTCTTTATAAACGAAAGCCTTATACCTAACGCTATTCTAATCGTTACGTTTGCTCACTCAATTTAGCTATAAAAGTACATTTTATCATTTTAGCAATCTATATTGAAATAAAAATGATATTCCTGACTATAAAAATATGTAAATTTGGAATTTAATCTTGATATCCCGTAGGCTGTGCACTCACGCGTATTTTTACTTTGTCAGCACATCTGTTCGAGTGATGACAATAAAAATTCAACATGTAAAAGTCAATGCTTAAATGATTCATTATAATCATCATACGACTACTTAATCCCAAATTTCAAATAATTATGAAATAGTTCGAATAAAATACTTGAAATTTGAAAATAAAAACGCACCAAGCAGTTCTACTTTGCTTGCCTAGACTTACTTGAGCAACTGAGAAAGAGAAGCCTCCCCAACCAATGATTAATAAATTATCTCTAGTCCAGATCTCAAGTGCTTCACAGCATCCCTGTAAAGTTATATGTATAATTTCCATTGTCTTACAAGATATGAACATTTGTTAAATTAAAACACAAATTTTTTCAAAGGAGAAATTAAATCGTGAATATGCAAATGCTGACTTACATCAGTGTAAATCATATTTGAAGTGTTCGATGAATTGTGGTGATCAACCAATATTTTAAAACAGGTTCGTGGTATCTGAGTGGCGGAGAAATCTGTTTGATTATAACACCCGCAGCACTCCATCTGAAACAATAAAGTTTAAAATCCCATGAGCAGACAAAAAGCAAAAAACAAACAAAAAAAAAAAAAAAGAAAAGAAAAGAAAGAAAGAAAGAAAGAAAGAAAAAAATCAGGATAAACTTGTAAACCGATCTGGACAGTATCATATCATAGAGAACTCTTTATTCTGATAGATCTTTTTATCTGCCATTTCTTGACATAACACCTTCAACAGTTTTAGATGCAGAAAGAACCTTTTCAAGAAGGACTGACAAAACGTTTCAGATCTGCAACAATGTTGAATTATGTACCCAAATATTTAGATGAGAAGTTTTTGTTTTGCTTTAAAATTCTAAAACAATTCACATTAACAATACAAATACAAGAAAGGCTTCACTTGACTAAAATATCAATTTGGAACCAGGCAGAGAACAGTTTACTCCCTAAAAAGCTTTAAGTTTTTGACCATTTAGGTGAACTGTATGTAAGAAAATAATGTAATATCAGAAAATATCTTAACATCAGAAAAATCTTAATATCAGAAAATATAATATCAGAAAATATCTTTATTTCTATTTTTAGTTGTCTTTTAAGTGATGTGGTACTATAGCATAAAGGATAAAAGGACAGAGTTGTAACAAAAAGAATTAGATGAAGCCGAACAGTTCAAACTAATTACCACAGGGCAATATTATACTGCAGATAATATCTTTCTCTTTAGTGCGCATGATGTATAAAGAGGCACCATTTATGCATTAAAAATAATTTCAGCTTTTTTCTCTCAATCGCTCGCAAAGCGTGCAACGTACCGATTGACATTATGAAAATAGTGAGACTTTGAAGTCCCAGAGGTGCAAAGATTGCATGATTGCAATCAAATATTCATTTTCAGAGTGTGATGGGTAATATTCACGCCTGTGTACTAATTTTCTTTCATGCTTTTAATTGGAATGAAACATATGGAGATAACGAACAGTATCCAAGATCAATAATGAGGTAATAATCTAGATTTAAGGACCTAATGATTTTCTATTAGCACTTTCTTGCGCTTCTCTGTACTTTTACACTATTTTGACCATAAATTTTGCCTTAATCGTTTTCTTATGAAGAAATAAATGAAATTCATATAAACATTAGGACTATCATACGGGCTTATCTTGAGCTACCACTCCCAATGTTAGAAAGTCTGGACAAAGAACGATACAGGACTAGTTTCTTTGTTTTCTTCTAGTTATTAAAACTTTGGAGTACATGAACTGTCTTTTTAAGATGTAAATGGACGTGCTGCTTTTTTTCTGAAAAAAAAAAAAAACAAACAATAATGATAAAAAATATTATTCTGTTTATAAAATGTCCTTATGTCCCTAAAGAGCAGCAATTTAAATGAAGGCCGATAATTATGGTCTTCTGTCTAACGCAATGTCAAAACAATACCGCCATTGTTGATTCCGATAAAGCGTTGTCCATTGGTCGGAGCAGGAAAGCACCTAATTAGCAGTGCTGAAAGATGTGTATGCTGACACACCGTTAGGTTGCAGTGAATACACTGCAAATTGTGTCAGAGTCGTGCTTTTAATAAATGTCAACAATATATTTTATAAATGAAATTTTGAAATAAGCATAGGAGGATATTGTTTTTACTGAAATGAATACGAATCCATCTAAAATTAAAATAATTCTAATAAGGCAATTGAATGAATAGAAGGAAAGATGAAAGGATTTGTAATCTTTTTTTCATTATTCAATTATCTGCAAATAGTCTGCCTAGCTTGATATATTGGTTGAATATAGAACTTTCTCATAATATTATGAGATAACGAAGAGTATAAACGAAGGTCTCGAAGTCCATTTTAAAAATTACAAATTGAGAACAGAGAACACACGAACCTACAAAACATCAGAGATGGGATCAATTGTCATAGGGGATTGAGCATCCCCTTCGAGTTGTCGATTGAAAAATTAAAGTACATCCCATATGTCACAAAGCTTTTTTGTTAGGTTACCCGTGAGTTCTTCTGTAGTAAAATATATGAAACCGATGTTTCAGACTATGCGGTAACTTTGGTAACGTTTATTTCATGCTCAGGGATATATGAAGTCGGCATATACAATGTAAATGGAAGTGAATATTTATAATTGCTTTGTCTTTTTCTAATGCCGAAGGTTTTGAAAATTTCTTTATCACATGAATACAAAAGTAGACCTTTTAATAACGGTGCGCAACTGATACCTATGCGAATAAAAAACAAAAATTTAGAAGACATTAGAATGCTGAAGTCATCATGATTAAGTTAACTATAGTAAATTATCAATGACTCCCATTAAAAAAATTAGATACAAATGAGATATTTCAGACACTTTGATGTCTTTAATTTAAGGTATGTCACTCGTCAGCTTTTTAGAAAAGTTCACGCAGAACCTCTTACTTCAAAACTATTTATTATAATTCAATTTTTATGACATATATATTCAAATTCAGCAAAGTAAATTATTGAACATGCAATGAAAAAACTACTGAAAAATCCACAAAGAAGCAAGAACTATGAGGGGCTATTTTTTGTGGTGGAAGGACATTTAGCAGAAAATTCTGCAAATCTGCACATTTATCATATTTAATATCTAAGGACTTTTGTCTCACATACTTTTACTCGGAGAACATTTTCCGTTATGATATGCTAGGATTATTTAATATAGGTCTCAATTTATATTTTTATAATATTTTTTACTCCTTCCATCCACAAACTCTGCCTAGAAAAGAAAATATGTTAAAGAAGTCAAGATAAAATTTGCAACGTTTCTCGCCTGAAAACACGTTTTGACTAACATTTCAAAATTAACATCACTGACTCCAATTTTTTCTTTCATTATTTTAAACTACTTGATACTTGTGACTGATCAACACTGAAGTCGTAAAAAGTTTAAAACAAGAAAACATTTTTTTGCCTATTTAGATTTTTAATACCCCAAATATGTGACTTTTTAGTGCAAAAAGGTCACACAATAATTTACGCGCATTAATTTGCTAGATTTGTTCAATGATAAATATTATTCAAACTATTTTACGTAAAATAAGATTATTTTTATTGCCATGGTTACCTCTGATAAAAAATTATTAAGGTTACAGTAATTAAAAAAAGAGTTAAAATTTAAGTGCAAAAAGGTCAACTTAATTGTACCGTAGCTCAGTAAGACGCACACTGACCTCCTATTTTCTCTTCGATTTTGAGTCATACTATATGAGTACATATCCAAAATATACCTCTCACAAAATCCTTGATTTAACAAATTTCACGAGTGACATACCTTCATTTTAATTTGGATATACATGTGTTGAATGAAAATATAAATGAAAAGAAAATATATATTTTTTTTTATATATTGCACTTATAGCCACAGCAGAAACAATTTTACCCGTGTACTTTTTTGGGGAATGCATAAATTCCGATCTATAGGGCCATAAAAGGCAAATTTAGTCTCAAAAGTGGCAATTTCCCTCAAATTGATGAAAAATCCTATCTACCAGTCTAATTCTCAATATTCCTGATTGTTTTCTTCAACAAAGAATATGGGCTGGTTTGATCTAAACCAAAGTCACTGTGTAAAAACATTAATATTAAAGGATCAATAATCTGAGTAAAAATAAATTTATTTATAAATTATTTATTTATCTATTGTCTGTATCTTCCATTGACTTGATGTTGAAGTCTATCAGTGATACGTGTGTCTCGTCAGATGGAGTGACATTCTTGATGAATCAGAGATGGACTCCGGTCTATTGATGTACCGGCGAAACAGACCTATTACAAGTTACAGGTCAATTAAGATTAAAGAAAGTAAGTCGCTGCGTCGTCTTGTTTCGTGGTGTCTTATCGCTTGTTTATATGTAATGGGCGATTCCCCCTCTTTCTGAACAGATTCTGTGTGTATCGTGTTTGGAGCTGGGGAGATTATAACACTCACTGTTAGGCGGGTATCAGTTTTTGTAGCACTCCTACATGTATATCTCAAATACTCTAGTCATATGGTACTAGGGTAACCTTTTTGACTGTTATTTGAATACCATTTATATTTCATATTAATTGATTTCCATTAATATGAAATAATCTGCTGGAAATATTTGATAAGAAATTAAGAACCTCAGAAAAATAGCATGATGAATAATACATTGAAGATAATTTTTCTTTTGACTCCTTGTCTCCTAGGACTATTAACATGAGAATTTAATTAAAATGATAAAACATAAATACTTTTTTATTCTATTGCAAGAGTTGGATCACAAAAATAATTTAAAGGGCTTATGATTCACGAGTTTTAAAAATTCATTCCTCACGGAAATATTATGACCAAAGCTATAGTTTATTCACTTTGCAAAAAATAAAAATTAAATAAAGAATGCGTTCTTCGATTACAATATACGAAGTTTTATCATGGGGAGTAATTAATAATTTGTGTAGATTTTTTTTAATCAAATGAATGAAATTATTAGGTTTTTTTTTTTTATCTCAAACGTTTTGGCAACTAATTCACTGATGAGAAACATCATTGCTTTGACTAAAATACTCAGATAAATCACTTTTTGATTTCAAGTGTGAGATAATATAAAATATATAAACATTTTTTGAATGATGAATGGCGGGAAAGGTTTGTGAATACTTACCTCTTTTTGGAGATTGTCTAAATTTTCCCGAACTGAAGAATCAAGGTAATAATCTCGAACGAAGGTCAACAATCTATCAGATAAATATTGTGGCATCTACCAAAAAAAAAATGAATGAATAAATAAATAAATAAATAAATAAAATGCATGAAACAATAAATTTATTCTATTTTTTCGAAATAAGGCATGGAGTATCAAATTTTCTTTCATGTATTATCCTTTTAATTCAGACATGTTTTGCAACGTAATTGTAGTGGCATACATACACAACTATAATCAAGCTAATTTCTGAAGATGCATTTATAGATGTATCATAAAACATTACTCCTTTCGGAAGCGAATGGACCCCTCCCCAAGGAGACGTTATATGTCGGAGACATGGTGTTGTGATAAACATGGGTCACCAGGTGAAAATCGAGAGATAAAATACTACAAAATGGACGAGGATTTACCAGATACAGTTTAACACTCAGTGAGATTAAGAGGCATATCATTCTAAGAGCTTTCCTTACAGACAATTAAATATTAATCATTGGCTTGATTCTTTAATTAAATGCGCAACTGATGGAGATTTTCTGTCTGGAATCCACAAAACAAAAATTAATTTAGAATGTTATAAAGGTACGCCCAAAATGAGATATTTTGCTATCTTAAGAAAGATCTTTAATACAAGCTGTCTTAGAAAGCAGTTGTTTTAGGAAACATTCTAGAATTAAAGGTTCTCCTCAGCTGAGCTTAAATAGAACGTATTAGCATAGGATAACTCTCTTGGGCTAATAAATAAAATTACTTTTGTAATCGTCAGGCTACTTGCATTAAATGATTAAAATGAGTATCCCAGGGCTATGACATTGTATTTTTTATTCTTCTGAGGAAATATTTCCGTTTTATCAATTTAAATATGTCCACTTCCCCCTGCTTCCTGTAAACGTGTCTTTGTGGTTCTGACATTCAAATTAGACTAAGGACAAACGTATTTTCTGTTGACAAAATATAAATCTTCTAAAATCTGTAGGTTATGATTGATTGCTAGAAAGTCACCCTAAAGCCCGTGTTTCTATAATAGTCGTTGTACATGCCTCTGTGCAGAAACCAAGGATTTGATTGTCTTTAAAGACTTAAAGAGATTAAAATGAAGTCATTGGATGATTTTATGCGTAATTAATCCTAAACTTATGGATAATATATAAATCTTTTGACCTTCTTTTAATGTTAAATGTGACATATGGAGATATGAACTGTAACATAACATAAAAGTCCATTGACAAAATAATACAGATCGGGAGAAGACCAAACACGGACCTCTGGAAATATCACAGTTGTGATCAGGTGCTAATGAAGAGTAAGCATCACCTGTCCACCGAACACACCCGCCGCGTGCTCCTTCTCAAGATCATGATATAATGAAACAATTCGTAGACAGTTTAGTGTGTAATAGTAGCATGAAAATTAGTATAAAAACGTCACTCGATAAGTATAGACCTTAATGAAAGATTGCTAGTGTTGAGAAACGGATAACTTACCTCATCATAAAATTGAAAGAATTGGACAGTGGCTAACACTTCAACACCAGAAATTATAACCAGAAACAGCAAAAACTGCAAATAATAAATTACATATCATATTGCTTTTTAACAAAAAGTTACCAGAATATAAATAAAATTGTAAATAATCAACAGCATATCATATTGCTTCTAAAACATTTACTGATATACATAATTACCATAGTTAACGGGTTTTATATGGATATAATGGTTTTTCGTTAAATTTATGATACGATATATATATACATCATATACTAATGATCAAATAATTTTATGTCCATTTTGATACACCTTCAATAACCAATAATCGAATAGATAAGAATTAAGGAAATGGTGAAATACATATATATGTTGTAATAAGGCTTAGAAATGTAAACTGAGAGCAGACCAAACACGCATGTCTAAAATTTCAGAGATGGGATATGATGCCATGAAGGTGTATGTAATCCCTGTCGACCATGCAGTCACATCTGCTGTGTGATCCATTTCATTACTGAAAAAAATCAATCTGTTGTAGACAATTCAGTGTGTAAATAATGACTTAAAATTGATATGATGAATTGTTTACCAGCAGGATGACGCCTTTTCTTTCGTTGACTCCTCCCATACACCCAATGATCCCATTAACAGTTGACGCCACGCCAGCTGATATGTAGATAATGGCGGGAATCTGGAACTTGCTGATTTCCAGAACTGGATTGTAGGACTGTAGAGTAATGTACTGCCAGATAGAGACACCAAGAAGAGCCGGACCCGCAAACTATGAAATTAAATCTATCGTACATTCTCATCTCCAGAAGTTATTTATTAAGGCATTTTTAATTAAAATATTTGAAAATATATATGCATAATACTTTGATATTCCAGTACATGTATATATATTTATCATTTAACAATAACATCCGATAATGGAGATGGTCTTTAAAATCCAAATGTTTTAAATGTCGACATGATTAATGTTAGATAATAATATTATAATATATGCATTTATATTTACTTAAGGTATGTCGCTTCTAACATGAGATATACTATTTTTTTTTTGAAAAATAAAATCTATAGGTAACCACTTATATATACATGCATCACGTCTTAAAGATATAAAGATAATTCGGGTCAATGTGCATCCTACCAAGTAATAGTAAAATTAAAATGGCCTTTTAAAACTAAAATTAAAACCATAACCGGATTGTAATGATGGAAATAATCACAATCTTATTTTAGATATAACAGTTTTATATTATCTATTTCTGAAAACTAATTCTGCAAATAAGTTTGCGTTGTTTATTGTACGTCTATTTTTCATTGAAAAAAGTATCATATTTACTTTACTTTAAACATATTTTATTAAAAAGTACAATAAGGGCTGGGCAAAAGGCAAGGTCAATGACTACACCTCTGTCAAATTTTGGAGGTCTACATGGCACCTGTTGATGTTTTGGAGGTCCTTTTTTGTATTGTTTTGTGTTGTGTTATGACTTTTGATCTTGAATACTGTTCGTTATAACCATATGTTTCATTGTATGATAGGTCAAGATACAGATATTAAATAGTGATAGTTGTACTTAATAATCAATAAGCTTATGTAAAATAAAAAATCACAATCAAGTATTATTCAACAGTATCATAAAAAATATGACAACTCTCTTACTGTATACAATTTTTTTACATACTGTAATATAATATTTTTACCATTAGAAAAACGTCAAAACCACATTGTCCTATATCATTTACTCAACTTTATTTTATACCGATCTGTTTAGATATAATAATTAAAGAAAAACAATTAAGAATAGTGATCCTAATTTTGAAATACTGATCAAAAAATATAATTTTCAGAAAAAAATGACGATGAAATATATGGAGATAACGAACAGTATTTAAGATCAAAATTTCATGAAACAATACAAAATAGGAGCTGAGCAAACACAGACCTTCAAAACGTCAAAGGTTTGATCAGGTGTGAGTATCCCTGCCAACCAGTCAACCCGCCGTTTGCTCCTTTTCCTGATCGGGAAATAACGGGAAAATCTGTTGTCAATTCATTGTGTAAATAATTGACGAACAATTGGTATGAAAAACATCAGTCAGCATTTGACTCAATGATGAATAGTATTTGCTGACAAGGTCATTATTTGCCATAGAACTTACGAAATTTTAAATGCGACTGCTAATAATTTTGTTTCATCAAATTTATGTCAATAATTTACCTCGTTTAAGAATTGTTAATATGTAGAGCATATTATTGCGTATCAAATCAACTGAGAGATATAAACCCCGTATGCAGGATACGAACTCAAGGTATATTGCTGCATATGTAGGGGAAGTCGATGATTGAAAGGTTAGGTCAAATTTATTGTAGAACTTTGTTGTTGATTACCATGTACGTCTTTTCAAGTGAAATATCCAAATATGAAACAGATTCTGTGGTTTCCTGTATCTCAAGCTCAACGGGATATATATATCGTATCAAATGGAAATACTATTGTTAAATTACAATACGATGTCGATATATATAAATGTCAAGTCAAAGGCCACAACAAGTGTTTTCTTCTCGTTACGTGTAAGATTATTACAAATTCTGCTTCATATGAATACACAAATGGGTCTGTTAATAACGGGTCTCAATTGGTACCCATCCGAATTCCAATAGATTGTTGGAAGACCTTCCACAGAAACGAATTGATATTGTCAATCATAAACTCAAGCATCTTTTTGATGTCAACTTCAGAGTACTTGTTTGTACAATCAAAATGCTTTTTAACATTTGGAATTTCCTCTTGACTTTTACAATAAACCTTTTTAAAACAAAACCTATTGAATAGATGTGAAAAATTATTAATTGAGGTTATGATATCATAAGAAAAAAATGTATACATAAAAGTTTTCTTTTTTATGGAATATAGAGATAAAGAACAGTATCCAATGCCAAGAGCTCATTTAAATCGGTAGCAGACCAAACTCCAAATAAAATATACGAAGATAACAAACGGTATTCAATCTCAAAAGTCCATAAACGATACCAAATATGAGCAGAACAAACACGGACCTCCAAAACATCAGAGGGGGTCAGGGATCAGGTGCCTTGATTAAAAATAAATCAGAGGCGGGATCAGGTACCATGAAGGAGAAAGCATCCTCTGTTGATCGATCACACCCGCAGTTTTCCTCTTGTCATGATCAGGGAAAAAGAAAATCCGTAAATAATTCAATGCGTAAATAATAGCCAAAATAACTAGTATGAAAAACGTCAGTTAGCATGTGAATCAATGATAGATTGCATTTGCATTCAATATTTTTCAATTGCAATAAACTTCACGAAAACTTTGAGTAAGTTTTATTTCAAAACTCAACTTAAATAAATAAATTTAAAGTGAAAGGGTCTGAACAAACTTTTCTCAAAAGCTGTCTTCTAATTACTGCGGTATCAGGCTTCAAATGTACAAATTACAAAACAAAGATTCATGATTATTTATTATTAAAAGACAGAATTACACCCATTGAAATCTTTCTGATGTTTAGAGATACCTTGGTATACGAAAAAACTTCTACGAAATATGTTTCAAAATCATCGATTTTTCAGTCCGTTCTATATCACTTCTTGTTATACATTTCAGCTTAGGCCCTTCCTCATCTTACTTTGTTTATTTCCTTATTAGGTAACAATATTATGACGCCATGGCAGTTCTAGATGTAAATACATTTAATCTACCCACCATATTTTTTTTAATGCTTAACATAAATGTATTATATTTTTCTTTTATTGACACTGAGAAATAACTGCTGTGTTAAAAGATGATAGAATCTCGACACATTGATCGTTTGTATAAGAAAGACGCTACGAACAATCCTAGAAACATGAAAAAACATAAGGACCTGACAAAAACATTGAACTATGAACTTTCTTTACAAGTGCCATTTCATAGAAATCAAAGACGAAACACATTTCATCATTTGATTATCAGTGGAAAAGCTTTTTCAGAAATTATGGTACAAAATAATTTCTTTTGTAGTATTTTCAAGCAAAACAAATATCCAAAATTAATATTTTGAAGGGAATGTTTTGGGTAATTAGGTGTATTCTTAGGTGTTTAAACGCGGTATAAGGTGCCTTAGTTTATTTCGGTTTCATTGCACTATTGCTTATTAGTCCTTTACAAAACATTAACCTTTTATTTCCTAAACATTGTGTATGCTGAAGATGACTGTTTGATTCATTTTATTTGTTTTTGAAAACTTTCCCTGTAAAGCCTTAAATACAAGCACAAAACATGTTATTTTAGTAAGGAAAACCAAATTAAGCGCGACCTTAATGTAAAAGGGTTCGCAAGATGTCACGCCCAAAGGTTCTGTATAATTTCAATGCTAAGTAACAGGTGATAGGGTCCTGTATACTTTTTACTTTTATCCCAAAGGAAAACTATATTTTTTAATTCCCACGTTTGCTTGTCTTCTTCACAAAATTATTATTTAATTTAATGAATAATTAACACTTATTAGTTGAACAATAAATGGCACATTAATGATTCTTATTCATTTCGAAATTTTTACTATTGAATAATAAATAATCATTTATTGAATAATCTCGATACTTATACACATTATTTGATAAATGATTTATTTGTCTCGTGCACCGTACAGCACTGTCTGGACTAAATACGCTTTTTTTTTAAATTACAAAATTCACAAAATGATTCTGAATATTTCATAAGGCATTAGTAATGAGTAAATTTGCTAAATTTTTAAGAAAAATGCATTTACTGAAGGACAAATTATTTTACTAAAAATATCAATTTTTAATTTGTGATGCAAAAAATGAAATCAAGAAAAATCTGGAATATACAAGTTATATCGGGTATAAAAAATAATAAAACGTTTGGATTAAATGTGACAAGACAATGCAAGGTTTTCCATTAATGGAAGAAAATTTTGAAACTGTAAGTTTGTTATTGCTTGGAAGACAAAATCCTTACCCAGAGAACTGTGTTACAAATAATGAAAATCTGTTTCATTCGGTAAAAGGAACAGCAGCACCCCATGTCTCTGGTCTATCAGTCATGTTGTCCGTGTGACGACACCAGCATCAAACTGTTCCTAAACTTCATTTTTTTCTTTGAACAATCACTTTACCCCTTCGTCCTCACTACTTTCTTTTGCACTTCTAATCTTGAGGTCTAAATTTTCATCAACCTGGCTAAATTAGACTGTTATCTGCTACCCTGCGAGGTAAGTGCTAACCAAATTGATTTGATCACTTAAATTCCAATAGTTTATAGGCAGCCGGTCAGAATAATAGAGATAGGGATACAGTGAAGCCCAGAGACACGTCAGGGGAGACGGAATCTAGCGGGTCAGAACAGAAGGCTAGATAGGTAGCTTAATTAAAATGTGAGGGTTATCTTTCACAGGTATGCCATTATGAGAACCTCTGTGTCAATACTACACCGTTTGACTACGTAATGTCTCTAATAGTTAGACACAGGGATACCTTTTTCGAGACACTTTATTATTTAGATAACGTCTATCAAAAGTAAAAGGTGATCTGATGTAATTTATCATAGACTTTGTGTATTCCGTACAAAGGATATATCAGTTTAATGCTTTTTATGCCCCCATAATTGATGATTCGGGGGTATAGTTTTTTCCCTGTCCGTCTGTCTGTCTGTCACTTTTGAATGGGTGGGGCTTTGGCATTCATATTTCACAACTGGAGTTATTTAGAAAGACCTTTCATTACAATCACCGATTTGACCTTTTGAGCCTGGAGTTTAATCTGCTTTTAACAATAATTTACCACAGTTTAATTTTAGCCATTCCTTTTAAACAGTTCATGCTAGTGCTTTTATACTTCACATTTATTGTGACAAGAGCTTTCAATGGGTATAAATACTTTGACCCACTTTAAAAACGCTTTAACCGTGGTTATTACTTTTGACCAGTTGGCACTAGGGCTTTTATATTTCACATGTGTATTGCATGTGAGAAGGCTTTCCTTTGGATACCATCAATTTTGACCTTGACCTTTAGATTTAGGCTTGCATCTGAGAAACTTCAACCCTCGCCATTAGCTTTCATACTTATGATACGGGGGCATCAGTGATACACAAACAACTTAATTTTATAATTGTTATTCATCCCCAATTTTTAAGCACAAGAAACCTATCAGATAGATACAAACATGATACTTCAGTACTCGCCTTTCTCATTTTCTGAAAAACAAAACCCACACACAACACTTTTATAATTAAGAACAGTGCAGAAAGTTATTTTTAACGCAAAAGACACATAACAAAGCGCCTTTCTGGCCATATAATTGTTTTTTCATTTGAATATTATAAAATGTGAAAAACGAATGACACCTGCTCCCGCAAAAGAAATAATCTGGTGTTCTGTACAAATAACGGGTACAGATAGAGGCTAATTGTATGTGTACAATGTAACTGCCCAGAGAGACGCCATTCTGCTCTATTCTCCTTTGTCTTGGTACCGTGTTTGTGATTATAAAGCATATATGTGCATTGTCATCTAAGGAAAAAAATATTCAAAAATAGTTTTTGTGTTCAAAATTGAAAATTAATCTAAAATCGTAGGTCAATAATCAATGTATAGAAATCTCTTCTGGCCTTTATGACGTCGAAAATACTGGGTATCTTAAGAAACAATGAATTAAAATTCTTGCATTAAAAAAAAAATGAATCCTTGTATTCAAATTAGTAATTTTTTTTTCAACAATTTTTTAAAAAGTTTATTCTTTTATTTCTTTCTCAAACAAATACGTGTGAAGAACAAAATTTTTCATCACAAAACTGTCTGTAGACCACCAACACTTGTACGACGCTAGAAGCTCATTGTATGTTACAACCAAAGTAATATAAACAGAAATTTGGGAATTCAAGGTCTTTCAACTTTCAAAGTTATTCATAATGCTGATCATTGGAAATATGAATAAACAGAATTTATGAAAAAAAATATCTGTCATCTGGTTTATTATCATTTTTATGGGTTTTTAATTCAAAATATCTAAATATGGTAGAATTAATACTGTAATAAAATTTGATATTGATATCACTAGGCTCTATATATTGCAAAAATTTTGCAAGGTTTTAATCACAAGGCAAATAAGATATTTATGAAAACAATATTTAGCATCGCGTATTTTATCACCTTTGTTGTTTTATAATCTTGTTACAAGATTTCAAAATAGTCATCTTAGTATGGTTGTGGTGTTTTAATATTTAATTTTGAATTACTAAGCTCTTTATATTTCAAAAGTTGTCTAAGTCTTGACGTCATCAGACAAAGGGAATATTCATGGAAAAGAAATAGGAATCGTGTTTCTTTAATGCTTTAAAGTCTTGTGAACATGTTTATGAAATTACATGTACTATCTTTTAAAATGTATTATAGAAAAAGTATATGCAATATAAATGTATATTTAAAAAACTGTACTATACATACAAAACGCAGGTTGTGCTAGTTTGTTTTTTCAAATCACAAAGCAAAGAGAAGATAGGAACAGTTAAATCAGTTTGTTATATCATGGATACTCTCTCGTTTTTATGTCCTTTACTTTAATTATAATAATAATAATAATAATAATAATAATAATAATAATACTTTAAAAAATAGTGCAATGCAAGTTTTTGGATAGTACAATTAGGATTACAATAGTACATTAATCAGAAAAATTACAAGTATATTACATACATGAATTACATTTGAAAAAAAAAAGAAAAAGAAAGTATATACAATGTATTATCAAAATATAGAAACAAGTTACTAATTAGGAAATGTTGCGTCCATTGATGATAAATTTTTCTACATTTTTACGAAAGGATTGTACAGTTGGAGAAAAACGAACATTCAGAGGTAATTTGTTCCATAAATGAACGCCTGAATATTGAAAAGATTTTTTAAATAAATTTGTTCGGTACTTTGGTAGACTAAGGTCATAATTGGATTCAGAACGTAAAACATAATTTTTGGAGGAAATAAATTCAAACGAGTCTCTCAGATAATCAGGTGTCATATCATGAAGTGTTTTATAAAGTAGTATGTATTTGTGAAAATCTATTAATTCATATATAGTCAGCCAATCAAGTTTCACAAATAATGGTTGTGATAATATTAACATAATTCTTGCTGCTCTTTTTTGTAATTTAAAAACTATGCCAGCACCTGGAGCATTGCCCCATATAGTTATAATTTAAAGATGGCAGAATGTATGTATAAAAAAGTTTCCGCGTGTGTAATGGGAGAAATTTTTTAATTTTACGTCATGTAAATAGTTTATACGTCAAGGACTTGCACACAGAATCAATGTGACTAATATAGCGCAATGAATGATCAATATGTACTCCCAAGAGTTTTTCTGACTCAACATTTTTAAGAACTTTGTCTGATACACACAAATCTAATTTTGAAATTGTTAATTTAGATTTTCTATGTTGAGTCCCCATAAGCATACATTTTGTCTTCTCAATATTCAACACCATTTGATTTCTGCTTCAATCTCACACAAATCAACATTTAGGGCATTTTCAATAGAATGCACATTATTATGATATGTATGTAAATTACATCAGCAAACAAATCAATATCTGTATTATTTACATGTAGAGGAAGATCATTTATATATAGTAAAAATAAAAGTGGCCCTAAAAAAATGTGGCACACCTGCTGTGACGGGCATAGATAGAGGAAAAGTAATTTTACACATGCAAATATATTTAATTGACATGTATATTTAAAACATGCTGTACTAGAAAAGTTATCCCTACAAGATTTCCAAAACTTGCAACCAATTGTCTGTTAGTTTTGTTAATGCTGTTTGTGCTCGAAAACCAGATTGTGATTTATATATAAGATCAAATCAAATAATTTGGACAATGTTGGAAGAATTGATATAAGCTTAAAAATAGGGGTGATTTTTGCTATTTTTAAAATGGAAATACCCCATTAATGATGCTAGCAACAGTTAATGGATCATATGACATTTTGTTATATACATGGATTTATTTACTCTCTCATATTAAATTTATGTCACTAATTTTTACTGAAAAAATTTTATAAGTTTTGATTTTGTAAAGCTGTCTAATAATTTAGAATCAAAATTTTGCACTGACATATTGACAATAATTTACTGGCTGTAAAGTGTTTATTTAAAATATCAACTATATCCTGTACATTTTCAAAATCAGAACCATTCTGAGTGATACGAGTTGGTGTAAAGTTACTGGAGTTTGGAGATGCCAACTGGTTTAAATAACCCCACATTTCTTTAGAATTTGAGCTTTCTTCAATAGCTGATTTGTAATAAGATGTTTTGGCTTGATCAATTAACTTTATTTTCCAAAATCTGAAATTGTTTGAAACCTCGTAAAAACCTTGCTGCTTTCAATTCTGCATAAATACACGAATTAATGACAAGAATACCTTTAAGATAATGAATTTCTCAAAAAAATAGAAAAAAAGTCATTTAAGCACGACCATCTGTCTTTCTCTGAATAATTTTTTTATATATTTTGAAAAAAAAAATCATCTTAACTTTGCAAGTATAACGGTGCTCAACATTCCAGAGGTTATTCTGTCAAAAAAAAATCCTAAACAAATACAAGACAAGTGAAGTGGTCAGTACCAAATAGACAACCAAGTGTTTTCCTTCTCAGATGAATTCAGAGATAAAGTGCAAGTTGAAAAATTTCAATCTTTTGTTTTCATTAAACAGGGAAATGAAAATAATTTTATGCAGTTAGGTAACCGTAATTATATCCAGGCATATCATCTTGGCCAAACTTTATATCAAGGCGATAATGATATATCCAGGCAGTTCTTTATGGCATCTGGTGGCTTTTAATATAAGTGAAACTGTTAAAACAAAAACAATCAGAAAAGTCAAACATAAAGAAAAGTGAGTTTCACATATAATTTGACACCACGCTGAATCTAAGTTTCAATTTTAGTAGAATAATAAAAAGGTAATTCATTCTGTAAAGAAAAAAATTTTTAAGAAACCTAAAAAATAATATATTATACCTATATTTCATGGTTAAATTATGCCATAATGTGGACCTCATCATTTTAAGAGCTAAATTACCAGGTAAATTAATTTACTTACTATTATGAAACAGATCATCAGAAATGTCCC